GTCTGCACTTGGAATTTGATCATATTAAAATATGCAGTGCATGAGTAATTGCAATGTAAAGTAGGCTGCTTGTCCTGTTCTTCCAAAGCTACATTGGACGTATATATTTTAACATTCACTTATAAAAATATTATTAATAATATATATGATATGTTGTCAATAAATTAAATAGTGATATATAATTTTAAAAAATAAAATTGAACATGATTAACTTTAGTTTTAAATATTATATAATTTTCTAATTCAGTGATAAGTGATAATTTATAAAATTATGAATTATTAATCATTTTAATAAAAATAAATACAACAAGTGTAATAAACTTAAAAGATATCTCATTAAATCCCATGCGTGGAGCAAAGTTTTCCTACATCAGCAACACCCAATGGAAAACAACATTTATATACCAAAAAAGTTTCCAAAGACCAACCATGGAATAACTTTTCGCTTGAGCCCGGTCCAACAAAATTATATGGAGCAATCAAAGAATGCATAAATACATACCATCAACAGCAATTTCACCATGAGTCCGGTCTTTTTCCTTCAAAAATCATCTCACATAAACTTATTTTACAATATTATTTGTATTTATTAAATAAAAAGGTTAAATATAAAAATAAGTGTCCGAACTATGTCTTGAAAAACGTTTTAGTGCCTAAAGAATTTTTAACTAAAATAGGTGTCTAACATTTCAAACAATATACTTTTAAGTGGCCAGACATTAATTGCCATTAAATATCTTCGTTAAGTGACATATGTCATGTTATGTTAATTTTGAAAATTTTAAAGAATAATATACATATAAAAGAACAGAACATCCCCTGCGTGCTCTTCCCCCTTTCCATTTTCTACTTCCAAAAGTCGTCAATCGACTAGCGGTGATCGTCACCGTCAACATCACCAACATTGACTCCTGATCAAACCCTCGTTACCCTTTTATCATAATATGCTACCGTTTGTCGTGGAGAAGCAATCAAAGATTCATCGGATTTTAAGCAATCGTCATCGTTCTTCGTTGATTCCGACTGATTCCATCGTACATAAGTCACACCGTCGCCACCATTCGAACAACCGTGCTATTTCGAATCGTTCAGCGGCGACGATGATGACCGAAGATGACCGATGACATTTTGGGTTAAGAAATTAGGGATTTGGATATTGGGGATTTTGGGTGACAGTAAAGACAACGATTGATCAAAGGGTGGTGATGACAGGTGGGTGAACGTTCAACGATGACGCTGATGGTTGAAGATATTAGTTTTTTTTATAGTTTTTTTATAATTTCAGTAAAAAGTTAGATTTTTAAAAAAATAAATAAATAAATAAAAATTTAATTAAAAATAATATTTTTATTATTAAAAATTTTTAAAAATAAATAGTTGGCACCTAAAAGTATAATCGAGAAAACGTTATACATCTATTTTTAGTGAAAAAATTTTAAACACTAAAACATTTTTCAAGCACTTATTTTTATATTAAGCCTTATATAAAATTTGATGTTACAATACTTATTATTCTAGGTGTGTCATTAAGTATTTAACGTGATTATATACTTTTGTATTATGAAATATATAATGATATTTATGTATAACATTATCTTATCATTCATATTTAATAATAACCAATTATATTATCATCAATCATTTACACGTTTTCAATGATAGACTAATTTTATTGTACGAATAAAAAAGTAGTTGATGTAAATTTTTTATATATATTAAGATCAAAACACCTAAAATTTAGACACTGATAAAATAAAAGAAACGATTTAAGTATTTGTTTTATATTAAGTCAAATAAATATTAAAACGGTCATAAATAAATAAAAAGAAATTAATAATCCAAAAAATAAAATAAAAAGAAATCGGGATCCTAATCTCCGACCATTGACAAGCGACAGTGCTACGAATAATCAGAATTTGATATATGTTTCCGGTTTCCAGAACCGACTGAAACCAACGTAATAGAGCTCTTTTGCACCGTATCAACCCACTTGTCAAGCTGCAGCTTGCTGGAACTTCCCTCCCTCGACTTCAGAACTTGTGTGTATATAATAATCAAATACCTAAACCAATAATCCAACCGGATCGCATCTAAAAGATCGATATCTAGTTGCCGACATGGAGAGGGAGAAGGTCTTCAGGATGATCTTACTGCTGCTCATCGTTTTGGCTTCTCGTAAACCCTCTTTCTCAGTCTTCTTTTATTACCGTTATCTCTAACCATCTCTGATCATCTGCGTTTTGGTACTGTTAGAGACGATGATGGTGCCAAGCGAAGCAAGAGTATGCGAGTCAAAGAGCCGTACATTTAAGGGAGTATGTGTGAGTAATCAAAACTGTGGTGTGGTCTGTAGGGACGAAGGTTTCTCAAATTCCGCCACCGCTGCTTCTGTACTAGGCGCTGTTAAATTAGGCTTACACCCCCTTCAATGTTCCACCAATGTATAGGGGGCGGCCTTCAACAATAAGTTATGTTTATGCTGATTTCCCTTTTAAGTGTTATGTTTGGTATTTTCTTGGATTTAATTTTTAATGTTGTGTTTTGTGTTTATCTTTTCTTTAGAAAATGTTTATATTTAATTTACTTATATATTCATAAATATATTTATTTAATATCATCAAATATATTTTTATTATTTACTTTTGAGTATATCCGTTTAATATTCAAACTTCGAGTTATGGAATACGGGCAAAATAAGGCATCGTGGTCCATGGCAAAATAAGGCATCCACGACGAAAAGGGCTAAAAGCCCATGTCAATCGCATTGGCACGTGCTAATAGTAATACCTCTATCAACCGCATGGTAATCGCGTGTCTATTGCTCTTTCGGCTGGCTTCTAAGTCTGGAAGACAATGGCATAATGCTCTGGTTGAATCTCTTGCTTCTCAAGGTTGGTTGTGTTAAGTGTTCCTTTTCTTCCCTATTTAATTTTATTTATTTTTCCCTTTTACTTCCTCTTGTACCGCTTTCGCTCTCAGTCATCAGTTACCCTCATCACTTTTCAGTCAGGCCGGTGTGCCGTCGATGAATGCTTTCTATGTTTGCTTTCTGTTTCGATTCCGATTTCAGTTTTTTATTTGCTTGGACAAATGAATCTGTGAATACCTTGAATTTGCGAATTAGATCGCTAACAATCCTTGTTCTGGATCGTGCGATTCAATTCTGTAATAGAATTATGGAATCTCCGCTTTGCGTAATGATTGTGTGAATTTTGTTTCGTTTTTGTTGTCTCAGGTATCGTTTAGCTAGGGAGCTGTCGCGGAGTGCTGTATTAAAATCGGGTTCTATGATATGAGCCTATTCCGGCTTGAAATTATAATTTTTTGCATGAGTAGGTAATGAAGGGTTTTCATGAGAGGAATGATTCTCTGAAACGCTCTTCTAAAACTTCTATCGATAGCTCACCTACCTCTGGAACTGGATCAGAACCAGGTCCCAGCGACTCTAAGTTCACAAAGACTTCTCTTTGGTCAAATTTCTTTGCTTCTGCTTTCTCTGTCTTTGACACAATTAGTGACTCATCAACGTCATCGTCATCTACTTTGGCTTGTGAAAAGAAGGCCTCGTTTTCTAAAACCAATGGGTGGACAGCTGCTGTGAAGAGGGTTGTCTCCGGTGGCTCAATGAGGAGAATTCACGAGCGTGTTATGGGGCCGAGCAAGACTGGAATGTCTAGCTCAACTAGTGACATATGGCTTCTAGGCCTGTGCTATAAAATTTCACAGGAGTCGTCTGGCGATTTAGATGCCATTAATGGATTAACTGCATTCAAACATGATTTTTCGTCACGAATATTGATGACATATCGTAAAGGTATTTATCAAGTTCACCCTTCACAGAATCAAAGGATGCGTGATGAACACATGTTTCCTAAGTTGTTTGTTAACAGGTTTTGATGCTATTTGCGATACAAAAATCACAAGTGATGCCAGCTGGGGTTGCATGCTTCGAAGTAGCCAGATGCTTGTTGCACAGGTTAATTTTATTTTATTTTTCTCTTGAAAATGTTCAAATAAGAACTAGGGTATTAGTTTCCATCATGAAAATTGACATTTCCTGTTGTCTTGGGTTTATTTTAGTTAGTTCATGTATTGTTTTTCATCCCTTGCAGGCATTGTTGTTTCATAGGTTGGGGAGATCTTGGCGAAAACCTTTACAAAAGGTTGTTTGATTTATTTTTGATTCCTGGTCTTGCCTATCTCTTCTTAGTCATCTAGAATTTAGATTCTGGTTGAAACCAAAAGTAAGTGTTTTCTTTTCTGACACCTTGTTTCCTATGCAGCCATTTGACCAAGCATATATTGAGATCTTGCATCAGTTTGGTGATTCTGAGGCCTCTGCATTCTCCATCCACAATCTTATTAAAGCCGGAAAGACTTATGGACTTGCTGCTGGGTCATGGGTAGGCCCATATGCCATGTGTCGCTCATGGGAATCTCTTGCTCGCAGTAAGAGGGAGGAAAATAACCAGGAACACCAGGTACTTCCTATGGCTGTTTATGTTGTTTCTGGTGATGAAGATGGTGAGAGAGGAGGAGCCCCTGTTTTCTGCATTGAAGACGCTTCTAGACATTGTTTTGAATTTTCACGCCACGAAGCTGACTGGACACCTATTCTTTTACTTGTGCCCTTGGTTCTTGGACTTGACAAAGTAAATCTCAGGTTTGTAATGTTATGACATTTCTTCATTTTATTGTTTTGTATTTGATAGATTCATCAGGCATGATCCTTTGTGTAAATTGATCCATCACGTTTGTATCAATTAATTTTCTTATCACTGAAATTTTCTTCAGTCCAGTGCAATCTCCAGGACACCTATGATTGCTAAATCATGACCTCCTCTTTAAATATTATTGCATACTGCACTAATCCACTGAGCTGTAAGAAGATAGGATTTCTTGCACCTAGTTATGCTAATTAATCAAATTGGCACATTCATAAGTTTCTTAGGCAACAGCATTGGATCAATTCTAGGTTAGTTATGTTTTTGAGCGTAAACTACCATATTTCTAATCACTTGGAATTTTCTAAAGCTTTTTGTTAGGTATATTCCATCACTGCAAGCAACATTCACCTTTTCAAATTGTCATGTTTCTAATCACTTGGAATTTCCTTTTTTTTCAGGTATATTCCATCACTGCAAGCAACATTAACCTTTCCGCAATGCCTTGGCATTTTGGGTGGGAAACCAGGTGCATCGACTTACATTGTTGGTGTTCAAGAAGAAAATGCTCTCTACATTGATCCCCATGACGTTCAGCCGGTAAATTCCTTGTTGCTTTACTTTATCACTTATACTTCATTCCCTTGCTCTTATAAATGTGATATAAGTACATAGGCTGGTAGACTTATCTGTGAACTTCTTTTGCTTGTTTGTATGTTGACAAATGTCTTCTCTCTTCACTGGTACTCTTTTGGATTTGGAAATCATTTATTTTGATCGCTTGTGTAAAAAGTAATGGGAGTAATGTAAATCCTTATATAAACTAAACATATTTTTAAGTCGGGAAATTGATTGGTAATTTTGAATCCTGAAGCATAGTGAAATCATTCATCATCCTCAGGCATGATAGAGAAATTCTGAAATATAGTACTTTAAAGCTTCTTCTTCTACCCCTTTGCTGATGTAGCCGTGCAGTAGAAACAAACAAAAGAAAAATATGTTGGAATTCCTAGAATCAAGGAACAATATCTTTTTTCTTAATTCTAGGAGTTTGCCTTGTGTAAATAGTCAACTAATCTAATTCCCTGATCTTAGGAATTATTTCCTAACTTAGAGTAGTTCTTCCTTATAAATTGTAATTTACGTTTAGAGTAATAAAGTAAGAATTTCATTTCTTCTCACATTTGTTCAAAATAAAACCTGAACCAAGGGTAAAAAATTGGCATGGAATAGAAGTCAGTAGAATAGAATGCTAAAATATTAACATATCCAACTATAAATGGTTGTTTAATGTGTCTGGAAGACTATTTTAACTAAAGTTACAGTGGCTTTTACTGCTAACCTATAAATACTTATCTCTGGATTCTCTTTCCTTTCTACAACTTAATTTTCGGACAAATAATTGTTATAATTGCATAAAGAATGTAGAATGTCACTCACTTATCGAAACAATGTAGAATACTCTTGACTGACTTTTAATGATGATTATGGATCATGTAGAGCAGATCAAGTGTAACAGATGACTCAAATAGTGTTGAGATTGTTGAACTTGGCTAGATGTGAGAGATAATAACAAAACAAGAAGTCAATCGCTTTATCTTTTCTCTCTTCTTCTTCTTCTTCTTCTTCTTTTGCCAGTACTTGTATTTATATAACATTGCTTTGTGCATTGATTTCACTTGGATTGGTTGTTGGTTTGCATGAATATTGGTTGAGATATTAAGAGTAGAGTGTTCATATTGATTGAAGCCCAAATCTGTATTTAGCTGTGGCTTTAAAGGGAACCTTAGAAATATTTATTATCAGTTTAAGTTGAACAGTATTTCTATCGAATTTGATATTTGAAAAGAGGTCTAGTGGCAATCTCTTGTCATGTTTGGAGTAAGATTACTTTCTCTTGCAGCCCTCTTGATTAAGGAGGTGTTTGGCAGCTCCTTTTCTGTGCCAAAAGGTGCTGTGGCCCAAATGTAATGTTGAAAGCATGCTGTTTTTTCTCTATAATTGCTTTTTGACAGCACTTTTGGAGCAATCCAAGGTCTAACACAATTTTGAAGATGAAATGACCGAAGTCCCCTTTGATTTATTTTGAATGACAAAATTACCCTTTTAATTATTTAGATATTTTGATTAAATTGATGAAAATATGGTATTGACTTTAGTCTCCCGTTTGAACCCTTTTTTTTAAGAAAATCTAGAACTTATATTTAGTAAATTCTTAAAATTGAACTTCACTATAATTTATATTTTGATATATCGCTACTCTTTTCAAACATGCCTGGTTAAGTCTCAAGCTCTCTCTAATTGCAATAACAATGCCAAAGTATACTTAAAACTTCTTGCATGACCATATCAAACTGTGCTTTTGAGTTCAGATGGTATGTTTGCAGTATAGGTATCTTCGTAGGGTCAAAATCAAATTTAGGAGTTCATGGTAGTTGTGACACAGAAAATCTTTTTTACCAGGTAGTTAATCTTAGTCCGGATAATCTGGAGGCGGATACATCATCTTATCACTGCGAGTGAGTTCCTTTCTCTGATTAATTTACTTGATGTTTTACATGCATTGGTTCTTTTCCCCTTAATTTTGTGTTTATTCTATGATACAGTACCATACGACACATTCCTCTGGATTCAATTGATCCATCCCTGGCAATTGGATTTTTCTGCCAAGACAAAGGTTTTGTTGTTTATCTTGTTCCTATCCATAATATTACGACATGTTTGAACCAGGCTACTTATCGACTATGAATTGGGCTTGTTCTTTTGGCAGATGATTTCGACGATTTTTGTTGCCGGGCATCCAGACTTGCAGAGGAATCGAAGGGCGCCCCCTTGTTCACTGTTGCTCAAACACATGGTGCTTTAAAGCGAATTCACCACGGAAATACTATGGCCGATGCGGGTGAGGTTCGAGCAGATGACTCCATTGGTGGAACCGATGAAAACAGTAACGAAGATGACTGGCAGATCCTGTGATGGAGGTTTCTGTATCTTTAACGTGATTATTTATGTATACTGATTACAACATTTGTAGGTTAGTATTTTGGGTTACAATAATTCTTTCACTAAATTTCAAAACTATTTGGCAAGCTGTTATTGATTTGCAAGATACGTGCAATTATTGTTGATTTCATTACATTTGGTATACATTCTACACATTAGTTATATTGCAAAGGCTTAATACAAAAATAAGTGTATAAATTATACCTAAAATTGACTTTCGGTGCTTAAAGAATATTTTTGTTAAAAATATGTCTAATATTTTCTTCATTACATCTAATTACACTTCTAGACGTCTTTCATTAAAAAGAACCATTAAGAAATCATTAAGTGATGTGTTATGTTTATATTTTTTATTTTATTAAAAAATAAAATATTAGTATTTAAAAATATTATTTTAAAAAATCTATAGTCCCCCTTTACTAACGTGTAATTTTCTTATTAAATGTTTTTAGCGAAGTCTCTATGTGATCTCGGGGGTTTACGATAATTTCTGAGGTTATGGTTCACTGATTGTACTATCCGCTAGCCCGGTACTTGACTCGGGTTCAACAATAAGTAGTGGCACTCTGATCGCTCTTATTGAACTTCCTTTCAAATCCCCTTGAATTGAAAGGACGACTTGCACCTCCTAGTTTTCTTGACATTCTCGAAGCCCACACTCTTCATTATTTCTGAATCTCACTCGCTTATTGTACTGCTAGTCGATACTTCCCCTATAACGATCCTCGTTCTCCACTATATGTGTATGTGCTCGACTGAAGATATCTTGACGTATACCGCTTAAAATGGTTACCTTTGCTATAACCCGCTCCCACGAGTGTTTCTATGTATGTTTGGGCCTTTAGGTCCATCATAGACTTATTCTTACTATTTCATATCGTCTTTAGCTCTTACGGGCCTTAACCGAGTCAAAACTAACCATCCAAAGAGAGTAGTATCGATACTTTACATGTAGTATAGATAACCTATGGTCAAATATTGATACCCCTATAAGTATCATTACAAAAAATGCAGTATGTTTTCAAAATTGAGGCCCAACATCGACACTGTCACCCTGAGTATCTATACTGTAGGGGTAATATTGATACTCCCCTTGGAAGTACCGATACTCCAGCTTGAAATCCCTAATTTTAGCCCCAATTCATCCAATATCGATATTGTTCATCCCAATATCGATACTCAACCCCAAAAAGAGTTATTTTAGGCTCAAGAAACACTAAAAAATTACACTAAAAGACTTGGTTTGGTTTCTAATCTTATTTTGAAGGTTTAGGGAGTTAATTAGGGTATTAAAGTAGCATAAAAATATCTTTTTAACATTTAAAATGTACTTTGATCATGATATCAAATATAAACCCTAAAATGCTTAAATACTTAAATCATAGAAAAACTTTATACTTATGGTAATCTTAACACTCCGATGGATTAGAAATACACCATCTTGGTTTTAGAAACCCGAAAGGAAGCCTCTTGCTTAGCCAAACTCCTTTCCTTGGTAATTTTGGTGAAACTCCCACTTTTCTCTTTAACCATAAAAATCCAAGGCTTGATTCACTAAAACAACGTTGCTGAAGCAATTATGAACGAAAATAAAGCATGAAAAGGGTGCAAAACCTTACTTTTATCTTAACCTTTGAAGAGGGAGAGAATGAAAATGGAAGAAATGAGGGGAAGAATAAATTGAAAGAATATAAAGGCTCATCTTTTAAAAATGGGTAAATAACTTTTTTGGTTCTTCCTTATTTTTCTACTAATTAGAGATCTTCTTTTTATGACAAATTGGGCTCAATACTAACACAATTAAGTCCAACGACTTAAATTATAAAATTCACAGGGTCCACTTACTTTTCGGGTGAACCCAAAACAACTAACCCGGACTTTGGGGTGTTACACATCTCACTTAAACAGTTTTTTTAACAGTAGAACCTAAAAGTGTAACGGAGAAAACATTAAAGACCTATTTTTAATAAAAAAAATCTTTAGGTACTATAAGTCAATTTTAAGTATAATTTAAGCACTTATTTTTATATTAAGTCAAAAGGAAACTATTTAAAAGAGTTATTAAAATGTATTTTAGGCTTTGACTGAAAGGAGTGGTGATAGATTATGATATAAGGGTAAATTACATATTTAATATCTAAGCTATCAATCTTGGTCTATATTTTAGTATATAAACTTTATTTTTTTTAAAATCATACCTAGCGTTTAGCTTTCATTTCATTTTAGCACTCAATCGTTAAAAATTTAACGCGTTTAGTACCTAAATTATGAATTTTAGTTTGTTTTAGTACCTAAACTTTCAATCTTTTCAAAATTTAACGTTAAATTTTGAACGGAGTACTAAAGTGAAACATAAACTAAATTTTTTAACGGCGGATACTAAAATAAAATAAAAATTAAACTTTAGGTATGATTTAAAAAAAATTAAAAGTTTAGGTACTAAAACGGATCAAAATTAAAAACTCATATATTAAAACGGATCAAAATTGATAGTTTAGATGCCAAACGCATAATTTATCCTAATTATAATTGTACGGGTAATTAAATAACTTTCTTAAATAAGAATCTTAGATTCATATAACTTAAATTATAATTACACATTATTATATTTGAACTAAAATACCATGATATTCTTTCTACCGTTGCCGATAGAATTCAAAATGATTTATGCAAATTAATTGATAGATTGCCAAAAGGGTTAAAGTCGTCATCAGATTTCAATAATTTATATTGAGATTATAATGGTGTCACGTTAGTTAATTATATTAAAAGAAATACAAGTATGTCATTTTTTTTTACAAAAAAAATATATGATAAGAGGTGGCTCCCCAGTCCAAAATCAGAGTATATTTAAGACTCAATTGAGGTTCAGGTAGAAATTTATAAATTATCTATCAAGAATGACGGTGGTAAAATTCGAACTTAATATTAAAAGCTCAAATTCTTAAAAATCACTTGTGACCACACTCGTTAACATAAAAATATGTCATAATAAAGTTTCTTAGAATAAATAGGACGTAATTTTTTGTTTAAAAATAATAATCTTTTACATACAAGTGTATATTAGTTTCAATAAGCTAGCAAATATTGGTATAAGAAGGATAAAGGAGAATAAAACTTTATTCTATTCAAAAAGTATTCTTTTCTTTTTATATTTTATGTTATTTGAATTAATTTGAGTTTTTAATTTATATATAAAACACAATTGGTTTGAATTTAAAAAATTTAAATAACGTAATAATTAAAAATTAAAATGATAATATAGTATTTAATTAACAATTAATTGTTTTACGATTTGATTTTTAATTTTCATATTAATAACTATTTTTGTTGTGGGGTGGGGGACATAATATTAGATAAATCTATTGAAAGATGATGACAAACATGAGGTGACTGGTACTAAAAAGAGGAGACGACCGAGACGGCGCACATTAAGCATGAGCTGTGGAAAAATGGAACAGCGGAAAGAGAAGTTTGACTGCTACTTTGTCATGTATTGGGAAAAGCCATGTGATTAAAACCCTAAAGGCCTGCCCTTTTCAGATATCTCTCCTCTCACCAACAGTAGGACCTTCATCATTCATTAGTTCACTTCCAACTTCAAAAGTTACCTTCTATTTTAATATAAAAAGTGTGTACAGTCTATTGAAAACTGAATCTCATTAAGATGGTACACGGGTTATACTTTAATGTTCATCCATCACCCGGGATGTCTGTCTGTACGTATGAGAGAGTATCTACGATAAGAAGAATATGACATGATTCATCATTCATCATTATCTTGAAGGTTTAATGATCCTAATCTTTGGTTTAGATTGAGGAATGTTGGCACTACTAATTACACCAGATCTATGAGATGAACCCTTTACGTTGCTGTTCTTGAACTGCGAATTCTGTGATTTCTTCTTCCTAACTTTCATCCCGAAAGACGACGGCATCTTACTCTTCTTTTTCTTCTCCGTTTCCTTTATCGTCTCCAGCTTCGGTTTCCAGTGGCGCGTCGATCCCACGAGCTGCGTGTACTGTTTCTGCAACTGCGGTGTGCTGCATAGTCTATTATTATTATTACTATTACTCCCGCCGTTCTCTTCTTCCGTTTCCTCTTTCAGTCTCCCTTCTTCCACCAACGTCCGTATAAACTCATCGGACACGCGTATACTTAAACACCCCGACGAACTCTTCTGGATAATGAAAGGTCGGCAAGCGGCGGCTTTCTTCAACACCGCATTCCTCGACTGAGCGTCGCTGGCGAAGGAGGCAACGGTGACGAACGTCAAGACCGACTGGAAAAACCGTTCGGGGAGGAGGAAATAGACGTGGCCGAGCAGGAGTTGCTCGTGGACGGAGAGAGGAGGGATCATCTGGCCGATATAGAACGAATCGGAACGGCACACCATGTGTTTGGGAAACTCGTTCACGAGGTCGGAAACATTGACGGGACGATCGTAGATCTTGACGACCCCATCGGATTTGATGATCTTGACGGTAGAAAGCGGAGGGTCCGGCCGCCGCTGGGGGATGCAGGACATGTGGTTGCTCAACAAGTGGAAACACCATGGGATTGTGTGTAGATTTAAAAGCTTGTTGAGACCCATTTTTTTTTTATGTTTTCAGATGATAAACATGGAAATCATAAAACCCTTTTTCATAGATTAACAAAAGAAAATGTGGGAATTGCAGAGAAAAATGGAGACGGTGGTGGTATTATAGGGAGAAGGAGACGTGAGAGAGATTGCTTTAGTTTTGGGGGTATAGATTTGGTTATCTTAAAGTCTGACTTTGACACTGCTCTTGTTTGACTGAAACGCCAATTGTATTGGATCCCATTATTTCCCCCGCACTGTACTTTTGATTTTCGAATCAGATCCCACCATATCATCTATTTCTTATTATTATTTGGAATAATATCAATATCAGTGTTAAAATCATATTTAAAATTAATTTTTTTTAATTATGTGTTTACTGTTTTCTTGGTTATTTTTTTAAATATTTACTGTTAAAAAATCATTAAATGTTACATGTTATATTTATATTTTTTTAAAAAGAAAAAAAATCAAAGGTGTGACTTTCATCCTCCTGCTCTTTCCCTCTATTTTTCTCTTTTCAAATGGCTCACAAAATCAAAGAGATCAATCGGAGGTTTGACAAACTTGCTACCTAATGGAACAGCTTTAATCTAGGACAGTGTAGTGACAACCAACATGTTTTTCATAGAAAGACTCACTCTTTTGTGAATTCCTCTGATGTTCATGGTAGAGATGAGGATAAAGAGAATATCATTGATCTTTTGAAGAGATCAAGAGAAGATGGAAGCATCCCTGTGATTCCCATTGTTGGATTTGGAGGTCTAGGGAAAACCATGCTGGCTCAATTGGTATACAACGATGTTGGTGTTCGTGCACTTTTTTCATTGAAGATATGGATCTATGTTTCGGATGAATTTGATCTTCTTAAATTGCTTAAGATGATTATCCAATCTATAGACAAGTGAGAAAATTGCGATGATTCAACGCTCGATGACTTGCAACTTTGTTTGTGAATGCTTTTGAACAACAAGTTTTTACTCATCCTAGACGACGTGTGGAATGAAAATCAAGCAGTATGGGTTCTTTTGCTTTTTATGTTTAGGGGAAAATGGGTGTTGGTGTTGGGGAAGGGGAGGGTGGACGGTGGACGGTGGACGGTGGAGGAGTAGATGGTGATAATTTTGACATATTATGTAATTTTATTATTTTAATTATTTTTTATTTATTCATATAAAATAAAATTAAATATAAATGATGGTGTGGCGTGTTCTTATTGGTATGTAAATTTTGTTTAACTGTTTTAGCGATTTGGGGCAAATAGGATAGCGATTTATAATTAAGGGGGCAAAACGTCCTAAAAAATACTTTATGGGGCAACTAAATACAAATAATATAGTTCACGAGGCAATTGTCAATTTAAGCCTAATTATAATGGTGGAAGTAATAGTTGGCGACATCATTTTAAAATCTAATTTTGTAATAGATAATTAACTAATTTAGAGGGCATCATTTTACAATTTTGTTTTAGTCCTCTTGATAAAGAGAGATTATTTGTTATTCTTTAAAAGCTAATTTTATAATAATTAATTAACTAATTTAGAGGGCATCATTTTACAATTTGTTTTAGGCCTCTTGATAGGATGAGACACAGTAGCGTAAATTAATTTATTTTAGGAAAATATGTTAATTTTTTTTTTTAATATGAGATTGTTAATAAAAAATGAAAAACAGTTGCTCATTTTGTTGCTAAAAATTTTAAAGTAAACAAAGAGAGCGATGGAAGGGTGTTTTAGTTACAGTGAATGGCATTTAATTAAGGGAAACATAGAAAAACGCTCTCTTTCCTGCATGTGTTTTTAAGTGTCTCTCTTGGCCTACTTCATTCTTCCTTTCAGTCTCCTGTGTTTAGATCATAAGTTACCCATACCTTGTTTCTTTGTGCCATGGATTTCATTTGATTATTTTTCCGGTTTCAGATTCAACACAAAACCAAATTAGAAAAAGCAAATGACGAGCAGGAACGTAGAGAAGTTGACATCAATAGACGCGCAGCTAAGGCTGTTGGCGCCTGCTAAAGTCTCGGAAGATGACAAGCTGGTGGAGTACGATGCTTTGCTATTGGATCGTTTCCTCGAAATTCTTCAAGATTTGCATGGGGGAGAGATCAGAGAAACGGTAATTAACCACTCTTTTATTCATGATTCATTCCATTTTTTACATTAATCTTGATGTCATCTCGATGTTGACGTTAGGTTCAAGAATGCTATGAGCTTTCGGCCGAGTACGAAGGGAAGCATGACCCCAAAATATTGGATGATCTTGGCAAAGTCATTACAAGTTTGGACCCGGGTGATTCGATCGTCGTAGCAAAATCGTTCTCCCACATGCTTAACTTGGCGAACCTGGCAGAGGAGGTTCAGATCGCACATCGGAGGAGGATCAAGTTGAAGAAGGGTGACTTTGCCGATGAAAGTTCGGCGACAACCGAGTCCAACATCGAAGAGACCCTGAAGAGGCTTGTGGGACAATTGAACAAGTCCCCTCAAGAAGTTTTTGATGCTCTCAAGAATCAGACTGTGGATTTGGTCTTCACCGCCCATCCTACTCAGTCTGTTCGAAGATCTTTACTTCAGAAGCATGGAAGGTTTGTCTTTCGGATTAGTAGGAACCTTTTCGCTCTCTGTTAGCAGTCAGAGCATTTTAATGATCTTGTTTGTTTTGAACTTTCAGGATCCGTAATTGTTTGACTCAGTTGTATGCTAAAGACATTACACCGGACGATAAGCAGGAACTGAATGAGGCTCTACAAAGGGAGGTATGAATATGCGAATGCTGGTTATTTCAACAAAAGCTGCAACTTTAGCAATAGCTTGTCCAACAAGTAACTATGGACCTTATACTGTTTTTTTTTTCGTATAGATTCAAGCTGCCTTCCGAACGGATGAGATCCGAAGAAATCCTCCCACCCCACAGGATGAGATGAGAGCAGGAATGAGCTACTTCCATGAAACCATCTGGAAAGGTGTACCGCAGTTTTTGCGTCGTATTGACACGGCTTTGAAGAACATAGGGATAAACGAACGTGTTCCCTACAATTGCCCCCTTATTCAATTCTCTTCATGGATGGGAGGGGATCGTGACGGTATGTTGTTTTTCCACATACACCATTTAATCGTAAGACCTGTAAGTGTGAGATGTTCATTCAATGCGGTATGCAGGGAATCCCAGGGTAACTCCTGAAGTTACAAGAGATGTATGCTTATTGGCTAGAATGATGGCTGCTAACTTGTACTTCTCCCAAATAGAAGATCTTATGTTTGAGGTATTAAAGAGACCTTTTTTCTCGTTCCCTCTGGTTGGAGCGTTGTAGTTCATGAGTTATCACGTTTTTGATTGATTCTTCTTGTTTGTTCTATTTTCAGTTATCGATGTGGCGATGTACGGACGAACTCCGTGCTCGCGCAGATGAACTTTTTAGGACTTCAAGAAAAGATGCAAAGCATTACATAGGTTCTAAGATTGATCTTTAAGATTTGTTTTAATAATGATTCCCAAAGAATGTATTGGCTTGATATGGTTGACTGGATTACTATTATGAAATGTTTTATGCACACAGAATTTTGGAGACAGATTCCTCCGAATGAGCCCTATCGTGTTATTCTCGGTGACTTGAGGGACAAGCTATACAACACACGTGAACGTGCTCGTAGCCTACTGGCCGATGGGCGGTCGGAAATTCCAGAAGAAGCAACTTTCACCAATGTGGAGCAGGTCTCTTCTTTTAAAAATATTCAAAACAACATTTCCATTTTATCCTGTAGAACGTAGAATTATGTTCTTTCTGAATATGGGCTGGTTCCTTCTTGCATTCTGTAGTTTCTGGAGCCTCTTGAGCTCTGCTACCGATCACTCTGCTCTTGTGGCGATCGACCAATAGCTGATGGAAGCCTTCTTGATTTCTTAAGGCAACTTTCTACCTTTGGGCTTTCATTTGTAAGACTTGATATCCGGCAAGAATCTGACAGGCATACTGATGTCCTCGATGCCATCGCCAAGCACCTAGATATCGGATCTTATAAAGAATGGCCTGAGGAACGCCGACAGGAGTGGCTCTTATCTGAACTCAGAGGCAAGCGCCCTCTAATCGGCCCTGATCTTCCCAAAACGGAAGAAGTCGCTGAGGTGTTGAACACATTCCATGTCGTTTCAGAACTGCCGCCAGACAACTTTGGTGCCTACATAATCTCAATGGCAACGACCCCATCTGATGTGCTCGCCGTCAAACTTTTACAACGTGAATGCCATGTTAAGCACCCATTACGAGTGGTTCCGTTGTTCGAAAAACTTGATGATCTCGATGCTGCTCCGGCCGCCGTGGCTCGTCTCTTCTCTATAGATTGGTACAGAGACCACATCGGTGGAAAACAAGAAGTAATGTTAGGTTACTCGGATTCTGGAAAGGATGCCGGCCGTCTCTCTGCAGCTTGGAAGCTATACAAGGTTCAAGAGGAACTCGTAAAGGTGGCAAAGCAGTATGGGGTTAAGCTTACGATGTTCCATGGCCGAGGAGGGACAGTTGGACGAGGAGGAGGACCCACCCATCTTGCTATACTGTCTCAACCGCCAGACACAATTAATGGATCGTTTCGGGTAACGGTTCAAGGTGAAGTTATTGAGCAATCATTTGGAGAGGAGCACTTGTGCTTTAGGACACTTCAGCGTTTTACCGCTGCTACACTTGAGCACGGAATGCATCCCCCCGTGTCACCAAAACCAGAATGGCGTGCACTCATGGATGAAATGGCGACCGTTGCAACAAAGGAATACCGTTCTGTAGTCTTCCAGGAGCCTCAATTCGTTGAATACTTCCGCCTGGTAAGTCTTTCACCATTATTAAATCCTACAAACTTCGGAGAAAGATTTATCTACATCTATTAGCATAAGGAGCCGGCTGAGAAAACTGAATGTTAATCAACTGGTTGTAGGTGACACCAGAACTGGAGTATGGTCGGATGAATATCGGCAGTCGTCCATCAAAACGAAAGCCAAGTGGAGGCATTGAATCACTCCGTGCAATCCCATGGATCTTTGCATGGACTCAAACGAGATTCCATTTGCCAGTGTGGCTTGGCTTTGGAGCTGCTTTTAAACATGTCCTTGACAAGGACAAAAAGAATCTCCAAATTCTTCAAGACATGTACAACCAATGGCCTTTCTTTAGGGTCACAATGGACTTACTCGAAATGGTGTTTTCCAAGGGAGATCCTGGGATCGCTGCCTTATACGACAAGCTACTGGTATCACAGGATCTCTGGTCCTTCGGACAGAAATTGAGAACAAACTATGAAGAGACCAGAAGTCTTATTCTCCAGGTAATAGCAACATGGCTTATTTTCTTGATAGGCTAAACCAAAACTGACTTTCTTCCATTGCATTGTAGGCTGCTGGACACAAAGATCTACTTGAAGGTGACCCTTACCTGAAGCAGCGACTCCGTCTTCGCGATGCTTACATCACGACCCTTAATGTGTGCCAAGCATACACATTGAAGAGGATCCGAGACCCAGATTATCAATGCAAGGTCAGGCCTCACTTATCCAAGGAGACACCAAGCAAACTCGCTGCAGAACTTGTGAATCTTAACCCGAAAAGCGAGTATGCTCCTGGTCTTGAAGACACCCTTATTTTGACCATGAAGGGTATAGCTGCTGGCATGCAGAACACTGGTTGAAAATCCATTGTTACTTTCTTATCTTCTCATGCATTCTTTTCCCTATTTGATTGCCTGAAATGTATTGCCTTTCAAGGGCCGAATATTAGCATCCAATAAATCCTTGATTATTATTTCTGGTTTAATCAAGTAGATTTGGAATTTTTCTATTTTCTTTTATGAATTTTCTTTTAACAAAAAAACTACATTATGTAAATCCATTACAACAGCAAAACTACAGTATTCCATCTCAGACATACCAGACCTTTTTACCAATGTTCCATCTGTAGGTACCCTTGATCACTGTCACTTTTCTTGTTTGCCAAGGCACTTCCAATGCACAATAAAGTTGCATTCTGGTTCATCACATTCAAGTGCCAGTGTGTTGCAAATTTTACGACAAACATTGCGAACATTGCGTGGAGGGTAGTTCCAGATCTCCTTGACGACGGTGAGGGACAGAGGCAGTGATGATGACCTTTGTGTCTGAATGTGCTCCCAAGCTGACAAATGGGAGATCCAGATAGTACAATCTATGTGAACGAAACTGTCACATTGTTCACAATGGTAGAATCAGGAGTCTATTTTTCTTCACATATATTTCAATAGTATTGACTTGGATCAGAATGGTTGTAATTAGATCATGCTTGTCGTACTTGTACCAAGCTGTATGTGGTAGTCCACGCATTTAAAATCCAGAACGTACCCACAAGGTTCACACCGATATGCGCCGTTTTGAGGTACTCGAGATATATGAACAAGAAGAAATCACAAATGAATGGAAAAGAACAGCATTTTACAGAACTTGTACAAGAACAAGCATTATAGTCATCTTCTCCAAAGCATTTTCCAATGAACAGTGATAAAGAATACTAAGCCCTATACTTCAATCGTTTTTAATAGTAGACCTTAGTTTTTCCCCAACAACAGTAACTGCGTCATCTATAGCTTGAAAGAAAGTTGCAATCTTGTATGTGAAGAATCCCACCAACATTGAGATCAATTCTAACCGCATGTATCCAGATTCTGGAACAAGGATCCTACACCCAACACAAACAAGCACATCCATTGTCAGCATGTTTTTACCTCGCTAGGCAAACCACAGAACAGAATATTACAACATCTTGCAAATTACAGAAAGTCACAAGCATATTTCAATATGCTTAACCCCAGAGTTTCAAGGGGTGACCTTTTACCTCCTTCCATCGTACATCGGAACTCCATAAGCAACAAATTTATACAAAATAGAGCAACGGCTGATTACGGAATACAATGAAATACTAGAGAGGCAAAGGTATTGTAATGATCAGAAGTAGGTGAAGGAATGACAAACATAGATGTCAAAAGAATTTCAATAGACTGACTTCAGAAGAGGAGTGTGTTTAAGTTAACAGACGAGCAATGCTCAAGAATGCTAGACGACGTGCTCACCCATTCCAACGATTATAGATCATGACAAATATTGGCAGAACAAAAGAACCCCATAGTGATGATAAGGCAAATAAACCGATGGAACGAATAGAAATGGAGCTAAACAGGAGAGGATTGAAGTTAGTCTCAATGATATAGTGTTCTGTACGGCCATTGTTAAACCGAGGCCGAGAGCCTGTTCAATGCAGCTGAGAAAATGAAGACTTCAGTTTCATTCGTACATTTAGAAAACGAAGTGTGAAAGGAAACTGAATGACAAATATCTAGTTTAGATTTGGTGTCATGTCATCATCTAAGGTACTTTCAATCATCTTGTTGTATTTGTTAGTGTTAGAACTCGTGACTTCTAGAAATAATAATAATTCCTTTAATTATAAATATAAGTTAGTTCGTGTTGTTTATAACAATTTTTTACAAACAATCTCTACACACCATAACAGATATTTATGTGTTTTGAAGAAGAGATTTAGTGTTTCATTTCATTAGACTAACTGATAGTTGGTTAATTGATTAAGATTTTAATTTATAATAACAATTCACACACATGCTACGGAGTTGTTAAAATTTGAATTCTTTAGAAAGAATGAAATTCTCTTTCAACGCTACAATCATTCAATATGTTTATTTTTAATTAAAAGTTAAAATAATTTATTGTAATTCTCTTTCAAAATATATAAAATGTAAACAAAGTAATATTAAACATAATTATTTTAATAACCTCTATATAGTTAAGTTTAAATTTTAATACATTTTATAAAAAATAATTTATGAAAAAAGATTAAATATAATTTTTAAATTTTAAATAAAATGCATTATATAATTAAATATATATTCTATTAAAATATTTTATTTTTAATTTAAAATACTTAAAGATTTGATGTATAGAAAAGATCGGTTAAATATTAAAAAAAGAAAGATAAAATAGTCAGCTTATATAATGACGGTGTCTCTCCCTGTAGAGATAGTACCATTGATGGGTCAGTCGACCATCATACTACGGCCAATGACTGTCCTACAAGTAGGATTGGGATTGAGGAAGTCAAAATAGCTCTTAGAAAGATGGAGAGGGACAAAGCTGTCGGTCCAGGTCAAATTTCTATCACTGTGTGGTTGGCCCTAGGAGAAGAGGGAGTTAAATGGTTGACCATCATCTTTAATATTATCTTAGAGACTGCCAATATGCCAAAAAAGTGGAGAGAGTCTACGGTTATGCCAATCTATAAGAATAAATGAGATCCTCAATGTTTTGGTAACTACAGAGGTATTAAACTACTCAGTCATACCATGAAGCTATGGGAAAGGGTGATAGAGGCTAGGTTGAGACAGGTCACTAGGGTTTCGGAAAACCAATTTGGCTTTATGCCCGACAGGTCTACTACGGAGGCAATTCATCTACTTCGATGGCTTATGGAGAAATATAGGGGAAAAATAGAGATCTTCACATGGCGTTCATTGACCTTGAGAAGGCATATGATAGCGTTCCCCGCTATACGATCTGGAAGACCTTGGAAACGAGACGGATCCCAACTGCTTATATTCGGGCGATTCGTGATATGTACTGTAGATCTACTACATACGTCAGGACTACAATTGACGACACCGAGGCATTCCCGGTGGAAATCGGACTCTATCAGGAGTCATCTCTTAGCCTTTACATCTTTGCCTTGATTATGGATGACATCTATTGTGCGACACCGGACGGTGTTCCATGGTGTATGCTTTTCGCTAAAGACATTGTCCTAGTTTTTGAAATAAAAACTGAGCTGAATAGTAGACTGACGACCTGGATGACTGCTTTGGAAGAAAAAGGTCTAAGGATCAATATTGAAAAGACAAAGTATTGAGGGAACCAAACGATGAAGATGTAGAAGTATGCATAGAAAGACACGTTCTCCCATCAAAGGTTTGTTTCAAGTACCTAGGGTCTATGATACATAAAATGGGGGTGTAGATGATGACGTTACACACCTATAAAGGCGGGATGACTAAAGTGGAGGGCTGCTACTGGAGTTTTGTGTGACAAGAAAGTGCCTCTAAAACTTAAGGGAAATTTTATAGAATGTCAATAAGACTAGCGCTGTTGTATGGATCAGAATGTTGGGCAATCAAGAAGGATAACGTATGGAGGATGGAGGCCGCAAAAATGAGAATGCTTCGATGGGCATGTGGTAGGACTCTATGGGACATGACACCAAACTCTGGAATTAGGATGTCCTTGGGGGTGGTTCCCATAACCGAAAAATTGAGGGAGGGAAGACTACGGTGGTTTGGGCATGTCCTTAGGCGAAAACCGTCTGATGTGGTCAGGAGGGTAGAGTCGATTATAGTCGACGGTGCCATAAGGAGAGGACGACTAAGGAGGAAGTGAGTAGACTGCTTGAGATTTGATTTGAAGGATTTAACCCTTACCGAGAACATGACCTCTGATAGGAAATTATGGAGACTTAAGACCAGGGTAGCTGAGTAGTGTGGGTCACAACCATAGGGTGTAGCATCTCTGTCTTCTTTTTAATGCATTTGTAGTAATTTCCAGGACATCTACTTTTTATACGTTTATGTCATTGGGATATATGAAGGCTTAGAACTAGGATAGCGAAGTAGTGTTGCCTTAGTTTAGGTTTTAACCCATTTGACTTTATTCCCTCTCGTACCTTGCTATCGATAACTTCTGTGTATCATTTTCTTCGTGTTTTCCTCCTTTTAAATTTAGTCGGGTCTTATATTTATGTCTATATGCAGAGATTTTTACGCAGGGATTTATTTGCATGGATTACTTCCCATTACAGACGCGCATATGAAGACTGTTCAACAATGTATTTATTTATTTATTTATACATGCATTGTATCTTATCTTTATTTTTAATTTTCTGACTGCCGGAAGTCTTCCACGGAAGCTGCTCTCAACTTGGTGTTGGGGGCAACCTACTACCCTACCTTCCTCTTACCCCATTGCATATAGGAATAGGATTTTGTTGTTGTTGTTATAAAATAGTCCGCTTGTTTTTGAAACATTTTTAATTTTCTACATGCCAGCAGTTTACTTCGGCCCGAGGCCCAAGCCCCAAAGGCTGGGTGTTTACTGTTTAGTTAAATGGGGGTAATTGTGTAATTTCGTAGATGAGACGGAGGATGTTTCAGTACTTTCATGCGTGGAGAAGTAAAACCCTAGATCAAGGCTTCACTATACATATCTGCCAAGCCTCTCCTTTCACTGAAGCCTAACTCGAGTAAAAGATAGTCGGCTTGTTTGAATTCTTCTGATCTTCTGCTTTTCCTTTTTCCCCGGAGTAATTCTTTCTGTTAGGGTTTAGATTGTTTTGAAAAAGATGATATAATATTAATCAAAGTTTGGCGGGTGGCTGTGTACAATTAAGCCGATGCTCTGGAAAATAATGAAAGTAGCTTGGTACTGTGCACAGAGATTGAATCTTTCGATGGAACGACATGTCTGCTCTCTCGGAGCTTGGCTTTGATGTGTGGGCCTGGTTTAGTTCTACATTTTTTTCTTCACTTTCTCACTCTCCAGCCACTGTTTATCTTTCATTTGATTTTCTTTATAAAAAACTGGATTAGTTATTTTCTTTTGCTTTTTTCAAATCGTTCTCTAGTGTAAGCTTGTTAGATGATAGTGTTAGATCTGGAACTTGGTGCTCTTTCTATGTTAGCACTATTGGATGATCTTGTGCTGCAGTTTCAACTAGTCATTAGTGCTTCTGATTCACATAGTACATCCCAAGAGTTGTGTAGGTTGTAAAATGCTTATTTGTTAATTTTTTTTTTAATTATTCACCAAAATTGATTGCTGATGATCTTCGTTGACATTATCATTTGTCTATTATACATGTAATTGAATGTTCATTTGTGAATTTGTTTATGTGTCTACAGTTTGTCCTTCTGTGACGACCTTGAAAGGTATGTTACAAATTCTTGTTTCTAATACGACAGTTCATCACATTCAGCTAAAATTTTCACTTTTGATTTAGCAAAGCAGCCTCTCCAGTCTCTGTCGCCTAGCTTTAGTAAAAGAAGCTTTGCTCGTTTGAGTTCTCGTGGGTTTTCGCTTTCCTTTAATCCGGAAGTTAGGGTTTAGATCGTTGTGAAAGAGATGATACTTTTTTAATTCAAACCTTGGCGGGTTGCTGTGTACAATTAAGCCGATGCTCTGGAAAATAATAAAAGTAGCATGGTACTGTGCACATAAATTGATTTTTCTGATTGGACGACATGTCTGCTCTCTCTGAGCCTTGCTTTGATGACGGGGCCTGGTTTAGTTCTACATTTTCTCTTTACTTTCTCACTCTCGATCATTTTTAAAAGGAGATCCTACACTTTAACATTTCAATTTAATTGGAAAAGCTGCTGCTTCTGACATAATCAAACTGCTTCAGTTTTGAAATCAGCCATAGCAGCAAAAACAAAATATCGGGCTCTCCTCTTAGAACACTTTAAAACCTTGGCCTTCGGGTAACGTGCAGTAGAGCCATAAGGCAACTCATTGCCAAGAATCAATGAAGACATCCATTGTAAGCACAGAGTATGATGTATTTATAACCGGCTTTTATCCTTTAGTTTTGTTAACATGGGTAGCTACTAATAGCTGAAAAGAACGAGAGATACTTGAAAATAGTCAATGCAACAAAGAAATCAGCCAAATGAAGAGAGTGAGTGAGCAACAAAGAAAGATTCCGTGTGTTTTGTTCTTACTTGTAGAGGTGGATGGATCGAGATGGATTGAGGGAGGCTGGTGGGGTGGTAGTCCTTAGAAACTTTATTTTTTTTATAATTTAGATATTATATCCGCTTAGTTCATCCTTTAATTGCCCCACGTGGATGGTTGAACCCTAGGCTTCTTCCATACTCATCAGCGGCCATCTGCCAAAAGACGTAAAAATGGAAGTTTTATCAGCCAAATAAAATCATCATGAGAAGGAAAAAGTGACAAAAAATTAAGTGGAAAATGAGGAAGGCAATAGACATAGGAAGCAATATGGCAGCAGCAGTGATTGCCAGGTTCTTCCAAATTGCTTCACCAAATTATTTAGAAATGAAACAAATATTAAACTTAAAAATGGCGAACATAGGCAAATCTCTTTCATTTATCTGACTTGAGTACCATTACTCGGCTCAGTACTCCTGCAATCAACCAACGCCACATTTGCATTACAACTATACGCATGCACAACGTTTCATTATTGATAATAAGTTAATAATATAAAAAATATATTTTAAAAACCTCCTATTAAATAGTTTTGAAATATATATTTTATAATAATATAATGCTTCTCATTATGAGTTGATTTTTGTTTATATGTCCAAAACACTGACTTTTTCTGTAATTTTTTTTTTGAATTTTGACTCTGTATTATTTAAAATTTATTATTGATAATAATATAAAAATATATTTTAAAAACCTTCAATTTAATAGTTTTGAAATGTATTTTATAAAATTTAATTTTATAAATATTTAAAATAATTGTGGTCAAGGTTTAAAAAATTTGACTTTTAGGTTTTTCTCATGTTCTCTCTCTTTTTTTTTTACAATCTGTGTCAATTTTAATGATCAATCTAATTTTTTCTTCTTTAATTTTGTTTAACCGACAGTAACACCGATTTTGATGTTGGTTGTTGTCCGTCGATTATCTTTTTTCTTTATTTTTTTTAATTTTTTAATAAGAATAATAATGTCTTTTTGATATGTTCTCTACCTTTATAACACGTTTATCTTTGTATTTGTGGCACGTTTAACTCTGTCTTTGTGACACGTTTTTCTCTTCCTTTTGGTAGCTTACGATTTTTTTATCGTAATTTTCGTTTATTTTTTTTCTCAATGTTGGATTTGACATCGCCATAACTGATCAAGATGACGCTTATTTGTTATCATGATGATCTTCCTTGCTTTGGACCCTCTAATTGATTTGGATACGTGTTTTGTGTTTGTGTATAGTTTTTCACGTCGCTTGACTCTGATTTGCGATTTGTCGGTGACCTTCAGTAGCTGCATCCTCTTTCATGATTCATTTGCAAATGCAATCAGATTTGTTCGTGTCTTTATTTTGTTGGAGCTTTTTGGATAGATTTTTTAAAATTTTTCTTATTTGGTCCTTGTATGATCTAGGTAACTAGATTTTGTGTCAATAGTTATAGGAAAAATATCCTAATTATAAAAAAAATTGACTTTTGAAAAGTCAATAAGAGACAATTTTAGTGGGACGGAGGGAGTATATATCATTTTTTTAATATTTAAGAAAATATCACTATAAATTAATTAATATATAAAAATATTTTAAATGTTGGTGAAATTTTTGAGAAAATCATAGCAAAATAAGTGGTTCTGCCTAATATCTCTGCAAAAATAAATCCTATTCGTGTTCTTCCGTGCTTGTTGTTTCTTTTTTCACTGGAATAGTGTCCATAGGCAAATATCTCTTTCATTTCTCTGACTTGAGTACCATTACTCGGCTCGGTCCTTTTATTATTCTTGCAATATAATCGTATTATCTCCTTTACATCTGTAAAGATATCATTGAACAAAACTATTAATAACAACAGAAATAAAATTTTAAAAAAATGTTAATTAATTAAAATTCCATTAGATTCAAACCTTAAATGAATAAATTATTAAATCAAGTTTATAACAATAAAACCATACTAACGTTGCTTTTTATTTCAGAAGAATGAAAGTTTAACCTCAAGATTCTGCAACCGTCTATCAGTGGCAGATCAAGAAATTTAAGAATAGAGTCCAAAATTTTAATTTTTTTCTTAAAAATAATGGGTATGCAAAAATTATAATTTTTTTTTCTTTTTCCCTTAATACATTAAACTAAATTTAACCACTTTTCCAAAATAATAAGGATGCACTTGGCGCCTATGAAGGCTTAGTGCATCCGCCACTGCCGCCTATACACATTGAAATCTGGACATGAGGTACTTAACTATGACAAAAGCATATGGACACAAAAGGTGGAAATGATTATGTAAAAGCATATACATAGAACAAGTACCATATATTATAACCCATTGGGACGATTATTTCAATGCATATGCATACTCGGTTTTCCCACACTAATCTTGTCCTACATTGATTTCTAAGACTATATATACATTTTCCCCTAAGAACATCAATCTCCAGTTACACTAAACAAAGTACTTCTGAGGGATTAATTTGCAGCATTAGCATGGCAGATAACAAGGAAGGAGGTATTGTGAAGAAAGGTCACGAAGAAGGAATGAGAATGGCCGTCGGTCTTTTGCAAGAGATGGAGCTGCCCGAAGGGCTGCTGCCACTGTCCAACGTCGTCGAAGTCGGGTTCGTTAGAGAGACCGGGTACATGTGGATTGTGCAGCAGAAGAAAGTGGAGCATGAATTCAAGATGATCAGTAAGCAGGTGAGCTACGACACCGAGATCAACGGACTCGTCGAGAATAAACGGATCAAGAGGCTCAAGGGAGTGAAGGCGAAGGAGCTGATGCTATGGCCGCCGGTGAACGAGATCACCATCGATGATAAACAACCCGGGAAGATCCATTTCAAGAGCCTTGCGGGGATCACCAAGACTTTCCCTGTTGAGGCTTTTGCTGCAGGCCAGTGAGACGAGTTTGGTCACATTTTGCTGGGTTCAAATTTGTCTTTGATCGTTGCTGATGAAACCTGGGATGAATAAAAATGTTTCTCCTTGTATAAAAAATCATTTCTAATACAAATTCGGTGTGTTTCTTCTTCTTGGGAAATATTTTAGGCTTTCATACTACTAAAGTGCGGTTTTAACACAGAGCAACAAATCGCATCATAATAATTTTTAAGGTTACCTCAACATCGATGTTGATCCACGATAGAAAAAAACATACATAGTTATAATTAAGAAATAAATCATGTCGTAACTTCCACAATATTAATAACCGTGTTCTCAACCACAATTCAGTACCATGGTTCATATAACATATTTCGGTTCTAGTGAGCTTAAACACTAATATTCTGTTTAGGTTAATAAATTAGATGGAGTCGGGGATTAAAGCTAGATTAAGAACTAAAAACTTGGGGAAAAAAATGGGATAACTAAAGTGTGGTGCACAGAGATAGAGCATGTATGCATGCATGTACACGCAGGTGTGGTCCAAAGGGATTAGATGGTTGGATGTATATGGGATATTTATTAACTTGTAAACCCCATTCAACCAAATGAATGTAATTTTAGGATGTGGATGGAATATGACATTTTAGTTGTTATCCATGATTTCGTACTAAACTAGAATCAATTAGGAATATTTCATCATGTGGCCAACTTTATTTTCCTATCAATTTATAAATAAAAACTATAAATTTGACAAATAAAAATTATAAATGGGAAAAAAAGTAATATCAGAGTTTTTGCTGCTCCTGCAATATACCATAAAACACAACCCCTAAGAAATAGACAACTCTTAAGGCTGCCTTAAATAAATTGGAATTAATACTGTGAAGCTAGAACTGAAAACCAACCCAATTTTTGTATCTGCTGCTGGAATTCAAAGGGTTTATCTGCAGCTTCCAATAAATAATGATTGATTTTCTGACCAAAGCAAATCCCCCCCTTGTGATGAATTTACCAAAAACAATGACAAGTTTATGTAGCGGAAATGGCCTTGGAGGAGCTGTCCAAGACTAAAGATGCATAGAGTAAGTGATTCCATGTGTCAGGAACACCAGGCAGACACCAGTGGCTGCAATCTGCCACCATTGCTGGGGGTTTCTGCTTGGTTGCAATCAGTAGCTTCCCTTGCTTCGTCCCGTAAATGGATGAATGAGCGTCGGGACGATCCTCGCTCAGTCTCGTGATGTTCAAGTACTTCACCGGTGTCCTCATGCGTTCGAGCGTTTTCTCCACGATGTCTTTCAATGATTTGCCGAAATTCACCAGGTACGGCTTGTCCATGGCGGGCCTGGTTGATTTGTAGCACCAGTTTTTCCCAAAATGCGGAGGGGACATGCCCCTGAAGTACACTGTTGTTTTGTTCGTGTCGACATTTCTCTCTATCCAACGAGACCATGTCTTCATTGCAACCTTGAATGCAGTTTCGATCTTCATATCTGCAAACACATTCCGTTTGTACCGAAACATGTCCCACCTGCAACATTTTCACCGCTTTTCATCATACATCCATACATATATACATACACAATCATACGTGCATTGATTCATTCATTTACCTAAGGCGGTTCGCCCACCAGTGACCAGTGTTGAACACCATAATATCTGCATCTTTCCATTTCGTAGCGGACGGGACGAGCGAGTTGAGTTTCAAAGTCTTTTTGCCATCCTTCTTGTTCACTAGTACTTCCACAAGAAATTCAGCCCAGTGAAACTCAATATCCAACTGATAAGACTGCAACATCAAGCATATTCTTGTTAGCACAGAACAAACTAAAGCAAGTTATCAGAAACAAATGTTCGGTACAATGCCAGTGTCACGCCTTACCTCTGACCTGAAGATCCGTTTCCGAGCATCGACATAAGATCGGTCGGGTATAGCAGAATACAAAAGGCAAGCAAGAGATTCGAATTGGCTATGGTTGATGGAGTCCCCAACAATTACAACTCTCTTCCCTCTGAGCCTCTCCAACATGTCCTTGGCATTAAACCTTTCAAGAGTGAAACAATAAACAAAATGCTGCCAAAGGGGCTAAAAACCATAGTTGAAAGCAGAGTTGAATATCGTTTGCTTACCGAGGGATCTTGCACTCATTAGCCTCCCACCTCCATTTCTCGTATTCCTTGTCCGATCTTCCATTCCGTCGACAACTCACCGTATCGCTAAAAAACGGACACATTGCCGAATCGTACAGAGGACTCTCGATAGGATCGTAAACCCATTTCCCTTCAAAGATGTTGCATTTTCTTCCTTCCTCCATTGTCTCAGGCTCCTCGTTACCATTGTCCTTGGATTGTTGCTCTTGACTTTGCCCCTCCAACACATGAACCGGAGAAGAATCTCCTGTGCTTTCTTCCATTTTATCACTCAAAACTAACGCTTTTGCATCCTGCGAACCCGAAAAGGACGGTCGGGAGGATGCGTTTGCTTGTTTCACACTATCAAAGAAGTCCGGTTCCTTGTCCCGCAAGTCCGACAAAGGAATCTGAGAAGAGGGCGTTTCTGTTTCAGTTAGAGGTATACAAGGTTGAACACTAGAAGGTATGACTTGTTGTTCGTTCTCGACGACGCTCGGGAGCGTCGGAGACTGCATCGGAAAGCCATTGGAAGCTGTAATCGGAACGGTTAGATTCTGAAGCACTGATATATTGTTGGTACCGGAGCTGTGGTTGAGGAACAATATGAGAACCACAATGAAGCTTGCAAACGTTACAAGCCACCATGTCTCAGTGATGGTGGAATTGCCCATGGATAAATGAGGATGCTTGAAGACAGGGCTATGGCTTCACCCCGGATAACTATAAATACGAGCTTCTCAGCTAAATTCATGTGTTCAATAATTGTATAGTGTCGTTTCAAGTGGGGAATTATGGTCCCGAACAACTGGTTAATACTTGAAAAAGATTGCTAAAGGGAGATGAAGAATATATTTGGTTTTAAGTGGCAAATATAGTTCGGCTGGGTTTTTTTAATATGTTTTTGCAATGTTGTGGGAATAGTAAAAACAAAAATGATGTAGCCGCACACAGACAAGTCGGTATCTGTTAATTAATAATGAAAATCATACCTCTTTAGCCATCAAAGTAATACCAATAGAATAATATTAAAACTTAATTTTTTTATCGATTTATTTAGATGTTTGAATAAATGTTTTCATTGTTTGATGTTTATTAGATAAGGATTTACTCATCAGATAATAAAAAAAATATTTTTAACAACTTCAGTTTGATTTTTTAAAATTATTTGATCTTTCAAATTTTAAATTTATTCGAATAATCTAATATTTCAATCAAAATTAATAATTTAAATTTAACATTTATTTTTTTCAACTTGTGCATGGATCAATGAAAGGCAAATGGTTTGATGCAAGAAAAGCTTTGTTTTCTTAAGGGCTCACACCCCAGATATCTATAGTGCTGTAGTAAAGTACTTTAAATGCATAATGATATCACTGAAATTTCAATTCGTATGCTAGTGTGTTTTATGGTAATTTTAAAATACAACTTGTTAACGTAAGGTTTAAAAACAATAAAAATTGATTATAATAAAAAATATTTTAAAGAATGTAATTTTTTAGATTAGATAATATAATGTTTTAGGTTGAATCGAAAATGATAATTTTTTTCATAATATATTTATTGTAATCGAAATTATTACAAATTATATAACATTTTCAGTTGTAAACCTTAAAACAATTGCAATGTAACATTTTTTTATTACAATCGGAAATGTTATAAATTTATATAATTTTTAAGTTGAATATAATTACATTTCAACTTAAAACAGCCTTAGATTAGCCTTAAACTAGTTGTCGCACAACAAAACCACTTGTAGTCTATATCGTGATGTATATTGTAATTTTAATTCAGGGATAATAAATATAAATTAATAATTTTATTTTTTTAATTATATTAATTTTATTCTTAAAATTATTTAATTGTATCAATTTTTATCTTCTAATTGATACAATTAAATAAAATTAATAATTTTAATAATTAACTTTTGGAATTTTAATAATTTTAAAAAAAATAGATTTTTTAAATTATTAATCGATCTCTCAATTTTTAAATAAAATTAATTAGGTCCTCAAATTCAATCAAAATAATTAATCATAATCTCAATTCTCAAATTTGGTTAAAAAATCAACCAAACTCCTAATCAAATAAACAACTACACTTGTGTAAGTATGTATATATCTCATAAAATATATTCACTCCGTCCCGCTAAATGTGTTTATTATTGACTTTTAAAAGTTAAAAAATTTAAACTTTTACATTATTATTTTAAATATTTTAAATGATTAAATTTTATAAAATATATATCTAAAAACAACTTGATTTAAGGTTTTTAAAATATATTTTTTATATTTTTATTAATAATAAATTTTAAATAATAATGAGAATTCAATTTGTTAAAGAAAAATTTATCTCAAGGATAATTTAGTAAAACATGCATTTTTCTTATTTTATATTTCTTCAACCAAACACTGTAATCTTACGAAACAAATCAAACAAGGTAATACAACATTCCCAGTAATATGTTAAATAATGTAGCATTCCGATAATGTCATTTCCAAAGGTAATCTTACATTCCGTGAACCAAACGACCCTTAATAGGATATGTTTAAAACTGATTTAAAAAAATAAACATTTTTTTTTATTAATATAGGGTGCTTACAAGTGATAGTATATATGCTAAATACTTTTAACCATTTGACAATAAAGTTCAAATACCCTACAACCTTTGATGCCCGAACTTGAAATCTCTATGAATAACAAACAATCTTTTAACCATTGAGATAACTTGATTCGTACTAAAAAACTTTAGAATTTGTTATTTCTTTTAAGTACCTAATTAAATATTTATCCAATTTTCAGTTATTCGATAAGTAAAAGCCCAACAAATAATGAAGCAAATTGGAAAAACAGATTAGAAGGAAAATATGGCACATTAATTTTGAACCTTTAAATTCTTGTGGTTAAAATATGGGATTTTATTATGGGGCGTGGGGTGGGAGTAGGTTATCACATTATATCTTGGTGAAGAAATCATCCATCGTTCTTCAATTTCGTCCCTCCAAACAAATTCCTTATCATACGTATTGTAGACATTAATTTTTTCATCATCATCATATTATTATTATTATTATTATTATTATTATTATTATTATTATTATTATTAAATAAAAAAGTACAAGCCCAAATATATTACAAATCCTGGAGCCCAATAATCAGATCCGTTTATAACTCAGACCCAATCCAGGCCCAATCAGATGGCCCAGCTAAACCCTAAACCCAATTAGAGTTTCATCATCTCAGCAGCCAGTCGCCTCAATCTCATCCGTTGGATCTTTCCAGATCCAACGGTCTAGAAGCCTCCAGAGGAAACCCTAGGGTATCATCACCTTAGGGCCACGTCGTCGCTTCCCTTGTTGCCATCACCCCGCCGCCTCAGGAAGCTGTTGCCATGCCTCGTCGAAGATTCCAGCGGCTGCCACGACGCCCTCCAGACGTCAAGCTATGGTGACTCACCGATGCTTCCTCTATTGACCGGTCCGAAAGTAATATCGTGGTGGCTATAAAAGCCACCGATCCTGCAGAGAAGAAAAGGGGAGGAGACATCAACATCAAGCAAAAACACGGAGAGAGCAACACCAACAGTCACCAACAACGCAGCAAACAAAAGGAAGAGAAGAGGTCGAGAGAACTTACCTTCCACGAGCCAAAAAAACAAAAAAAAACCGAAGGTAACAAGTTTAGATCTAGGCCGATTTGGGAGTTTTTAGGCTAAAACAATCCTAGATTTGGCTTTAGGATAAAATGGGCTTCGATTTGGGGTGGATTTTGTAATTTTCGGCCACTGTTCATGATGGCCAACGGCGGCGATCGGCCGGAGACCGGACTCCCTCTGGTGTAGAGAGAATGCAGAGAGAAAATCTTTTCTCTCGTCTAAAGAGAGAGAGAAAAAAGAGAAATGAAATAAAGTTGGCCTAAAAAGGCCCGTTTTAGGGTTATACACTCATCAAAACTGTGTCGTTTTGATGAAGGCCCTGGGCGTAATTTCACTAATGGCCAAACCATACGCTCAGTACCCACAGTTTTTATAATTTTTCATTTTAGTCACTGAATCAAATTTTAGATTCTTTTAATTCGGTCTATGAATTTCATTTAATTTATAATTTAGTCCTTAGCATAAAATATATATATTTTAGGAAAATAACCGATTTAGCCCTTGTAACTTTATTAATTAATATTTTAATCACAAACATCATGTTTTAGTTTGTTTTAATTTAATATTCGAATTTTATATAAGTTTATTTTAGTCCCTAAATTAATAAATTGGTAAAATAGCATGTTTAGCCACTGTAATTTTAAATAATTAATTACAAATTAGGGTTTCTTAATTTTAATATGTTATAATTTAGTCAATAATTTTAATACTTTAATTTATTTTACAAGTTTTATTACTTTTTAATTTTATTTATTTTAGTCATTGTTTATTTATATTTATATTTTATATGTTTATATATTTAATTATTATTGTTATTATTATTATGTAGTCATATAAACATATATAATAAATAATATTTATTTACTTATTTTTTATATATTAAATAAAAATCCTATTTATAAATTTAATTTTATATAAATTACTTTTAAGAAAAATAATCATATTTTAATATTAAGAAATGGGTTGTCTTAAAGCACCTAGGAGTCATTTTCTGATATTCTTAAATAAATAAATATCCTATTTTTATAAAATATGTATTAATTTATTTTAATTATTTTTATATAAATATTTTATTAATATTTATTTATTTTTTAATATTAAGAAATGGGTTGTCTTAAAGCACCTAGAAGTCATTTTCTAATATTTCTAAGTAAATAAATATCTTATTTATAAAAATATAAATATTTTCTTAAAATTATACTAATAAAGTTGAAATAATAAAATTATGAATTAAATATATTTTTGAATTCTTAAATTTCCAATAATAGAGACAAATTATAATTAATGAGTATCAATTTTGGGCATTATAGGGGTGCTAATCATTCCCTAAACGTAACCGACCATGAATCCTTTTTTACTAAAAATTTTGGGTTATACGCATATCAGTTTATCTTTTAAATTATGTTTTCTTAAAAACTATTTTAAAAGATTGTTTTTAGGTATTTGAGCTACCTAACCCAAAAAAATCAATGACGACTCCCAAAACATTTTTTTAAATCAAAATAATTTATTTAATCATTTTAGTTTTCTCACCAAGTAAAAATTTTGTGTCCGGGCGAAAACCGGTTACGACACGTATCTTTGCGGTGACAGAGCCACAGCTTGGTGAAGGTGGACACGTGTTCACCTTCAAATCTGAATTTTCTTCTATTAATTATTTATTTTATTATTGGTGCCCATCATAGAATCTGAGTTTCATTCGATTAATTACTTATTTTAAGAATGATGCATACCTTAAAATTTTTTATACCCATCTCATTTAAGAAATTAATATTGTTAACATATGTATATCTGCTCTAAAAAAATATTTCTAATCCGCCATTGTATGTTGGCATGCACCATGTCCCTGTCATCGCAAACTTCCATTTCAATCATGTTCGGAATAAAACCAAAACAATCACTCATGCTCCAAGTTTCACTTGAACTCCAACAAATCAATTTGCTTTATTTTTTTAATCAAATTAAGTTTTATTTATAATTATTCTCACCCTATATTAACTAATTAAACTAATAGTTTAATTCTTTGAATTTGTTATAATATAAACATAAATGGATCGGGGTGGTAGAAATAATTATGCTTTAAGAAAATTTAAATTGTCGTGTAATTTATTTTTTTATATTTTGTCGCTAAAATTTCATAAATTCACTCTTTTAACATTAAATCATATGTTGTCTTTTAATATTAATCCCTTAAGTTGAAAGATAGTGAGATGAGGATATACTGCAAATTGAGCAGGTCGAATGTGAAGAGAGCATTCAATTTTAGTAGCGAAATTCATTCTGATTTATTATATTTTTTTCCTACTCAACCATGTGCTACCTTAACATTTTGTATTTTGTATATGATTTAGTTTTAATATATTAATCTTTAAAATTTTGTAAATTAAATTTAAAGATTAATCTGATTTATTTTTAACATTTTTTTGTAAATTTTATTTATAAATTTAAAGATTAATATATTAAAACTAAATCATATACAACATCCAAAGTGTTAAAGGTAGCACATGGTTGAGTAGGAAAAAAGCTACAATAAATCAGAATGAATTTCGCTACTAAAATTTAATTCTCTCTTTACGGTCGACCTGCTCAATTTGCAGTATATCCTCATCTCGCTATCTTTCAACTTAAGGGGATTAATATTAAAAGACAATACGTGATTTAATGTTAAAAGAAGTGAATTTATGAAATTTTAGTCCCCTTTTTAACATTAAATGGGCTCAATCCAAGCCCAATTCTCATTATAACTTGGGTCAAGGTTTCCTACAAGTCAAGAAATTTATCTAAGGCCCTCTCGGATTAACATGAAACTTCTAACCCAGAATTCGGGGCGTTACAGTGATCAACCTCCACGATATTTACGAAGATCAAGACGACGTTCACTTAGTATTGAAGCTCTGCTATGGCGGTGAGTTGTTCGATTGGGTCATCACGGAAATGAGGCACTCAGAGGCTTGCGTGGTGGAGGTGGTGTGACAGATCGCGCAGGTCGTAGGGGTTAACGATGATTCATATGGATCTAAAATTGGAGAGTTGTTTGTTCTTGAGCAAAAACAAAGATTCGATGTTGAAGATAATGGATTTTGGATTGAGTTCAGTAGACGGATTCATGGATCCAATTATCGGGTTGTCTAGATCCATGGATTATGTTTCATCGGATGTGTATTCTCAAGGGAAAATCACTACAAAGAGTGATATTCGGTTATCGGGTTATTTAGATCCGTTGATTTGTCTTCTCGTTTATTGTTGGATTTGGCATTATGCAAATCTCAAACTTTGAAAATTGAATTTTAGTTTGTATAACTAAGATTACCCAGCTTCATTTTATCTTTAGATGTCTACCTTTTCATTTTTCTCTGAACTTGTGATGTTATTATTTGTTATGAGAAGTTGGAAATCTTTCATTATTCTTGAAATGCAACATAAGTCCTTGAAAGAAGGCAAATGGAGCAGAGACGTTTAAAGATGAAGTAAGGAGAATATAATCAACAATGGGGTTTAGATGAAAACATATTAAAAATGGATAAATTGATATGTTGTCCATAAACTAATTTGAATTTACAAAAGAACCATAATTAGTATTTTATCTAAAGTGTAGCGGTACAAATAAACAAATTAAACCATTTTACTAATAGGTCACGTCATCAAACTAATGACATTTAACGTCCAAGTAACCAAAACTTAATAAAACGATAAAACAAGTGACCAAAACTTATGTTTTTTAGATTTAGTGAGCAAAAGTGTATAAATATAAAAGGAAAGTAACCAAAATAAATATGAAAGGAAAGTAACCAAAATCTTTCCAAGTATTATTTAAGTGGAAATGATGTAATTTTAATTTTGTATATTTATCATGTCACGTCAGTAAATCGTTAAATGTTTAACAGTCGTTAATTTTCAGTGAACAAATCTTAATTAAAACGAAATAAAAGTAATTAAATCTTAATTGAAATAACACAAAAGTGATAAAATCCTATGTTTTTGAATTCAATGAGGAAAAATTTATAAAAAATAAATAAAAGTGATAATTTCAATAATTCACCCTAAAATTTGACTTACACATTAAATACTGTAAATTATAAATCAAATATTAGAATTATATAATGATTTAAATGTTCCTCTACCCTGTGAAATACATTTCATCTCTCTCTCTCCTATTTTAGGGATGGACTAGGCTTGGGTCGGTGGGGTTAGGGGTGTAACTCGAGCTCTAGTATCGTTGAGTTCGACTCGACTCGAAAATTCACGAGCTTAAAATTTTTAATCTCGTTTCGAACTCGAAATCATGAATTGAAGCTCGTGAGTAGCTCGAAAATACTCGAATTTTTTTTAAACTTAACTAGATTGAAGCCTCAAACTCAAATTCAAACCTGAACATTAAATACATGAAAGTCTTACTGTTTTTTTTTAAATTCAACACATAAATGTTAATATTATTAATAATTTTTTTAAAAAAAAATAAAATCTTAATATATTATATTTTCGAGCTGCTCAAGAGCTTTTTGAGTCGAGTATCAAGTAGCTCGTTTCAGGTCGTTAAGAATTCGAGTCGAGCTCGAGTCCATTCGATTAGAGTATTTATCGAGCCTTGACCGAGTTGATCCCGAATAGCTAGCGATCTGTCTCGTCTCATTTACAGCCTAGGTGGGGTTATAATATATTTTAGATTTTTTATATGTATTTTTATTTGAAAATATATTTTTATCTCCTAAAATGTTATAAGTTTAAGTTCGCATTCTAAAATAAAATCTCATGTCTATCTCTGCTTTTAACCATTGAGATAGTTTAGTCTGTTTAATTTTTATTTTATTTATTTTTATTTTTATTTTTATTTTTTAATAAAGTGATAATATATGTCATTACCTTGTTAGAAAATTAAACTTATTAAATGATTTTTAATTAAATTAGAACTAAATTAATAAATTGTATAAATAATAAGGACAAAACATATTATCAAATTTGCTTAACTACCACACTAATATTTCGTTAACAATTATTGTTTGGTGAGTTGGTTGAAATTATTTTGATAGTTTAATGATCTAATTAATAAATCTTTTAATTCAATAGTTAAAAGAGTTAAAACAATAGTTTGTGTACAGGCACGTAAACAAACTGAACCTTTTGGTGAAAAGTCCGTTTATTTGTTAAACGAAAGAACATGAACAAAATTTTATGTTCGTTTAATTAAACGAATGAACACGAGTAAAGTGCTCATTCGTTCATTTACGTTCGTGAATGTTCGATTATCCGTTCGTTTATGTTGTTGATTTATGTTCGTTCATTTATGTCCGTTTATGTTCGTTAATTTATATTTAGCCCAATCTCCAGACTCGTGTGAAATATTAAGACCTAATGAATTTTAACCTTAAATCTATTAATATTTTAAACCTCAATTAATTTAAATCCAAATAAAAATACTCAAATCAATTAAAGAAAAATATAGGTCCTAAAATTATTTGGGAAGAAAAAAACTTTCTAAAAAATAAACCCAATTAATTTTATGTATGTTCGTTTATGTTCGTTCGTTTGTGTCTGTTTAATGTTTATATGTTCGTTTATATTTTAACGAACGGACATGAACGAACATGATAACGAACGGATATGAACGAACATGAACAAGCTAAATTTTTAAATAAACAAACACGAACAAGAAATTTTGTTCGTTTAGTTGTCATGTTCGTTCGTTTGTTCGATTAAAGTTAAACGAACGAACATGAACATGCCCTCGTTCGTGTTCGTTCGATTCATTTATAGGTATAATATTGTGTACCGTATTGTGTTTCACTTTTCTAAATTTAATTCTTTTTATATTTTTATAGTTATTCATGCTATATTTATGTTATTTTTATTTTATGTTATATCATCATTATTTCATCATATTATATCTAAATTTATCTCATATATTATCTTATAATCTTCTCATACTATTAATTTTTTTATCTTATATATTATAATTGCTTAATTTACAGGACAGCCCAAGGTTACCTCGAATAGTCATTGCACAATGATCAGTTGACCAACAATCGATTTCTCCAATGTCACAGGCTACTCAAATGAATTGCCTCAATATTATCCATTACAATTTCCACTGAATTTAGTATTATTTTTGTGTCCTAAAAGACAGAAACCAGCTTGCACGGAACACTACATATTAATCCAAAATTCCAATTCATATTCAGTGTACCGGCAATAGCAAATATTCAGACAAACATGTTTTGGTTCTCTATATAAGGAAAAGCTTAGAATAATTCCTATGCATCTGAAACGAGCAAACAATTGCCAATGGTTTTCCCAAGAGCTTGTAGCATGCTATTCTTCCTTGTAATAGTCGCTTGCATCCCACACATCATGTGTCGTAGCTTACCCGAGGCATCCTTGTCCGAGAGGCACAAGTACGGACGAGTCTATAAGAACGATGCAGAGGAGGAGACAAGATTCAAGATTTTTGAAAGCAATGTGCAGTTTATAGAGTCGTTTAATGCGGCCGGTGACCACTCTTACAAGCTAAGCATCAACGAGTTTGCGGATCAAACCAACGATGAGTTTCGGGCTTACAGGAACGGATACATAAGGCCCCAGGGACTAACAACAAGAAAACAGACGTCATTTAGGTACCAGAATGTCACAAGTTTACCTGCTAGCATAGACTGGAGGGAAAAAGGAGCCGTCACTCCCATCAAGGACCAAGTACAATGCGGTAAGCAATATGCAACTGTTCGAGCGTAACCATAAATCTTAGTTTGATAAACTCATTTCAAAACACAGGTAGCTGCTGGGCAGTATCGGCTATCGCGGCAACCTAAGGAATTCACAAACTAACTACAGGACAACTAATTTCCTTGTCTGAGCAAGAACTGGTTGACTGTGATAAAGGCGAGAACCAGGGATGTGAAGGTGGTGAAATGGAAGATGCGTTTAAGTTCATAATCAGCAATCACGGCATCGTATCCGAAGCCACTTACCCTTACAAGGGCGACGATAGAACCTGCGACAAATCAGAGGAGGCATCCCATTCAGCTACAATTACCGGGTACGAGGTTGTTCCTGCAAATAATGAGCAAGCATTACAGAAGGCTGTTGCAAACCAACCAGTGTCAGTGTCCATCGATGACGGATGTTACGCCTTTCAATTCTACTTGAGCGGAATTTTCACCGGAGATTGCGGAACCGATCTAGACCATGGTGTTTACGGCCGTTGGATATGGTACATCTGAAGATGGTACTGATTATTGGCTCATCAAGAACTCGTGGGGCACAGGATGGGGTGAAGAAGGATATATCATGATGAAGAGAAACATGAAGGCTAAAGAAGGTCTTTGTGGCATAGCCATGGACTCCTACTATCCAACAGTCTAAAAGCTCAAATTTCAATATCATAATTACAATAATCTACGACTTGCCTATCCACCCCATTCACATGTAAGGATGAAAATCGATTGTCTTTAGCAGTTCAACATAACTAGTAAAATCACTTCTATTAAGATACTGCTTTTATGCTGATCTCCTTATAAATCATAGGCATGAACAAAAGAAGTTGAAGCGTTTTCAGGTTAGATTAAGGAATTAAAACAGTGGGTAAGTTTTAGTTCAAATGTTCATCGAGCACTAAAGCTCAACTTTGAAAACTAAGCTACTAGTATAAACAGCTAATTACCAACAAATGAAGAAGAGAAGACTAACCTAAATATAAAACCAATGAGCAGAAACCGATTCACAATGTGCGTTCAATTATAATTTTACCAGACGAAATCAATAGATTTGCTTAAATAACTTAGTCCCAAAAAAAACTGGTAACAAACAAAGCATTCGGTGACGCAACCGTGAGTTTTATTCAGAATTGCTTCAAATATGATTACAAAGCTTTATTCAGGAACTGTATTCCAACGTTTTAAAAGTTTATGACCAAAATGTAAGATACATAAATATTCAAGGACTAAAAGTGTAGTTTACCCTTGTTACTAAGTGGTATTGGTAGTAGTAAACAATTGGATGGTTTTCCTTTTTAAACCCTTTCCCCCAAATTTCTGGAACTGATACTTGGTAAAAATGGAAGCACTGGGTGGCAATGGCGCGTTTTGGGCTTGGAAACTTCCAGTTATAAGAAGGCCAAAAAGGCCGCCTCCTTCAAATTCGAAGTCCTCGGACTCAACGGTGGAGCCAACTGGCGGTGGCGGTCGCCGTTTCCCGTTGAAGCAAGCTGTGACGGCCGCTTCACTCGCTCTCACGGGCGACACTATTGCTCAACTCAATGACCGCTGGAGAAAACGTAAGCAGCCCGTTTCTGATTCCAGTGATACAATTAAGGTAGTATTCTCTATTTTAATTTTTTAATTATTTGTTTTGTATTTTTAAAAAGCAATTTCATTTTGTTTGGATGGTGAGAAAGATGGAATGATTTGAGTTGTTGTAATTATTTTGTGGAGTTTAGGACGTTGTAATCTCTAAAATTTGGGAAATTATGGCCCTCACGCATCTGTTAATTTATTTATTTATATTGATGTTTCCCCATTGTTTGGATGAGCAGATTTTGCATTTAATGTTATTGTGTCTTTGAGATTGTTTATGTTATTAATCATCTTCTCTTAAATTCAAAGTTTTGATCTGTTTGGTTTCCAAGAAAAATCTGGAATGTATTGCTTGGTCTCAATCAACATTTGGAATCTTGGGAAATCAAAATTTCAGTTGTATTGAACTTCTAAACATTCCCAATTTTTGAAGGAAAGTGTGTCAGCAAAGTTTACTTGAATTGCCAGGTTTCTCATCCATATCTGTGCTGACCGGTAAAATATATCAACGAAATGATTTGTAATGAAGAAGTTTAGGGAGTTGATTGGTATCAGTGCAAAGTTGGTGAGGGAGTATGCTGCCTCCGTTTAGCAGCCTGAAGGTTTTTAGATAGCATGCAGCATGCTATGGCTGGCTCTAACACCCGTCTGAAATCTTAATTTGGCACTTACCTTACAGTAGTTCATTTTAAGTATTGCGTTTATATTTCTTTAAGTTGAACTTGTAGGTTCTTATATTAATCTATTCTTTTTTGGCATTTTAGGAGTTTGTAATCTTCATTACCTTTTTTAATTGCTGTAAATTGCAGATTTTTTTTCTTAATGCTACTTTGTTTTTACTCTAACGTTATCTTTAAGTATTCGTTGAAATTCTTAATGGACTAGGGATCCTGAGAGTGTTTTTAAACTGACATGCTTTACTATGGAGGTATTATTTTCAACTAATATCTAGCTGTATAGTTCATCGTGATTGTATGATACAACAGCATTTGATGTTACTTCTAAGGAGCCCCAAGTGATGAAGCTTGGAAAGTTCTTTTCTTCTCTTCTTTTGACTTGATTTATTCATTTTTCCTCAATGAATCAGATCAGAAAATTACAATAAACCCTAATCATTAGCTGCCCTGCGTCCACCGTCGTGAGAGAACATAGCCTATAAAAACACTGCATGTGGCTTGAGGTATTAGCATATCGTTGTGGATATGTTCTTTACTTGGATCTATCAAGCTTTACTCCAAACAACTAGGAATGTAGGTCTGCAGCCTTGGACTGCATATTCATGTAACACCCTACAGTCCCATTTTCCCTTTCTGGTGGGTGGACACTGGTGGCTGAAAGGATATTGCGAATATTGTTTCATTTATCATTGATCATGTTCTCTTTGTCTTTTATGTGTATATAAAATAGTGGGTTTATTCTTTTAGTTTTGACAAGACCTTTATTGTATTGACAAGAGTATTTCAGCGCATCACTGTTGTAATTTGTAGTTTAACCTAATTTCCATCTTAGGATATCATTTCAAGTGTCATTTCACACCATGATTGGCTCCGTTCCTTGAGGATGACTACATATGGATTTCTTTTATATGGTCCTGGTTCATTCGCATGGTACAAGTACCTGGATCACTGTTTGCCACACCAGACCGCGCAAAATATAATGTTGAAGGTAAAGTTGTTTTCATTTTCATTCTCTTGGCTTCCATAGTGCAATGAGTTTAAAGGTTGGAAAATAAGTGAATAACTTTGTTAGAACAACACTTAGTTTTTGGTTCTTGCAGGTTTTACTAAACCAGATAGTGCTTGGTCCTTGTGTGATTGCTGTTGTCTTTGCATGGAACAATTTATGGCTAGGAAAGCTCTCAGAGCTCCCTAATAAATATCAGAAGGATGCTCTTCCGACACTGTTTTATGGTAAAAGCCTCATTCGAAGCAATTTGCATATCGGCCAATAAAGATACCTAGGTTTGGCGTGATATGATGTTTGTATTTAAATCTTTTGCAGGATTTCGGTTTTGGATCCCCGTCAGCTTGTTGAATTTTTGGTAAAAATCTTTCTTTGTTTGTGTCATTTATTCATTTCGTATGTCACTGAATCATGTTAGTACTTCAACAACACCAATATTGAAGTCCAGAAAAGAAAATTTCTTAATTCATCCATTTCTTATGCTATTTCAGTTTACAGTTGCCTTTTAGATCATATTGTGACATTCCATATTTGAAAATATTTCTTTGGTGCAAACCCACTGGTGCTCGTCGTCAAAGAATAATAACTACTTATTAAATGATGGGGATTACAATAACATGCTTGTGCAATCTGTTTGGTGGTTGACAGGGTGGTCCCTCTTCAAGCCCGTGTTGCTTTCATGTCCACAGGATCCATTTTTTGGAACTTTTACTTATCATCAACCTTGTGCAAGTAGATTGAGCTCACCGATCATGTCACGTTAGCTAATGGCATATTTTTAGTTCCTGCTCTAGGTTTACTTTACTTCCCTTGAGCTTATTTGTTACTACTATTTATGATCTAATTTGTTGTATGTTAATTCACTGTTGACCTAAAATCTGTCAGAATTCAAGCCAAAAGAAATGAAGGGATTGGGTTTTGGAAGTTGAATTTGTGCAATAATTTCTTCATAGGTTGAATTGGTTGGCAGAGTGCATTGCTAGTATAGGATATTGAAGTACTATGAATTTATCTGCATGGTGAATACAATAGAGTTTACTGATTTTTTAAATCACATTTAAAAATCTGAAAATTCGAATAAAATATAATAGAAATAGAAGTAATAGAACAAGGTACAAGCTTGCATCGGGTCCAATACACCATTTTCTTTTTCCATATTCATTATGTTTATATACTATGGAAACCTAGTGCATGGTAGACAGTAAACAAATTTGATTTTTGAGCTTTAGTAAAGGTAAAAATAGATTAGTGGTGGGGTAAATTAATTATCTTTGTTGGCGAGAGCCTCTGGAAGTTTAATAGAGGGAGCCTTATCCACACCCCTTTTTGAATGCTCCCTCCATCTTCCTGCAGCTCTTCTTGCCTTCTCTTTCACTTCCTCCTCTGCAAACAACATTTCACCTTATATTCATTTCTAAGACCACGAAATATTGCTAAAATACCTAAAATGTGAAGATACCTAGAAATTTCTACCAAAGTGACTGGAAAGAGAGGGACGCCTTCTGTTGCACATGCCTGATTTATTGTATTCTTTAGGCTTGCCCCAAAGGTTGGTCCAGTATGAATCAGTTTTACCTCCATCTTTCTGCTGCATCATCCTTACTTTAGCTTGTTCCTGATAAAGAAGAATGAGAAAGAATAGTTCCAGTCACTATTTCTTTGATTTACATTTGAAAGCTACTTCATATAAATGAAATAAAAATCAAGCGGATGTATTTGAGGATATTGTAACAATGAGATCCCTACCAAAACTTTTGCCCGTCTCTTTTCCCATCGAGAACTTGCCTGCCAAACAATTAGAGGTCGATAGATAGTCTAAGAAAGTGTTAACCCAGAAATTCAAATGGCATCAGCAGATAAGTCGAGTGTTGGTTTTACCATTCTGAATACATCTGATGAAGATCCCATTCCGGAAAGCATCAATGCTACCTGATCATCCATTCGAAAAGCTTTAACTTCTAGCGATCAAGACAACTAGCTTGAATACATAGATTAATGAATTGCATTACTGAGAGACTAACACTTCATTCTTTTTTCGAGGTTTCAATGTAAAAGATGTTTTCCAGTGTCTAAACCCACAGTTGATCATCTGTATTATTTGATCTTTTATTCATTTTGAGATTCCTAAACATAGAGGCCATCTAAAATGCTCATAGTTTACAGGGTAAATTATCGTAGGAGAAAAGAACCATAGAGTGACTGTGTTTCTTATTTACATAAACTCTTTCGACCCTGCGCATTTCATCTTCAAGCAACGATATTTGTGCTGCAGAAGTCCAATGGATGCAATCAACTGGGCTGAATAACACAAGATAAAGTAGATGCGATAAAAGGCACACGGCAGTCTTATCCGGGTGATGATATTTAGCATAATTGAAGGAAAGTGTATGACCCAATGACATTATTAGATTCAGAAAAAAATACCTACCGTCTATTGCCTGTTGCACTAATTCAGGATTCCCAAACTGACCATGAACTCTGGCTCGTCCAAAGTCTTCCTCGATTCTAAACACATCGCAGGTGACATTCGCACAGTTTTTGCGCTTACCTTTTCGACCCCTTAAACGTGATTCCGACCTCGTTTCATCGGGAAACGTCTCAATCTCCCTCATATCGACGATGGACTCTTCGATTTCTTCATTGTTTGATCTACATGGTCCATCATCCGATGGGCCTGAAACTGAACTATGTTCGTTGACTCGTCATTCTCTTATAGTCCATCGTTCGGATTGGTCGTTCTTCTACCGGAATTATGTCACGCCAGTCCACCTGTTAAGTTTTTAATGTTGGAATATTAAAATGAAACAAAAATTGAACATTAGGTATGATTTTTTTTTTAAAATGAAAGTTTAAGTATTAAAACGAATTAAAATTTATAGTTTATGCACTAAATGGGTAGTTTACCGCATTAAATATTATTTATTAGATTAAAAGTAAAATAGAGAAGAAAACTTATGCCACGAAGGATGAAATGCAGAGATGGCAAAAAGGGAAGCCATTGGGTTTGCAAGTACATAGATTCTACGCGTTGAGAGGGACGCAGAATTTTATAATAAGATAATTATAATTTGTTTTTAAGAAAGAGCGTTTATAAAATTTTAAAATAAATTATCAATAAAAAAATTGAAGTATAAAAGAATTTAAAAAAATGAAGGGATGAGTATCCTGGCAAAATAGTTGAGATAATGTGTGGGGATTTTTTTTAATTCCCAATATAGTCTAATTGGGATATTATTTCCTTATCTAAGGTGAATTGAATAGTATCAACTTAAAAACATCAGATGCTCCACACGTATTTAAGCTAAATATAAAGACTCTACGACTGCATGAAGTATTCAGGTAAATTAAGAAAACCCTAAGAGTACATGACTTTTTTATACTAATAAGAAATCATAATTTAAAAAAAATAATATGATAAATGCTTTCTATGAAAAAATAATTTTTCCCACAACCCTGTACGAGTGAGGAAGCCGAGTATCCTACCCGTCCCTCAATCCATGCATGTTATGGACTACACCCTAAATTGAATCAGACTAAGTTGTCCACGTGTCAGCTTGTGGATAATTCTTGCCTCGCTTACACTCACGTCACTCCCAATATAGGCAATATTTATTTGGATTTTCTAAATACATATACTCTCTCCATCAAATTTTGTTTTGGATCGATCCAAATTAAATCCGTAGACGTAGGGTTTTAAATTAAACCAAAGCTGAAGTCTAACAATCATATGTAAACCCAACAGACAGACTAGGCGACCCAAAAAAATATCAACTAGCTCAACTTGAGCCTACCCATAACTCATATTCCTCAATTCTCAGTCGAATACCCCAATCATCTCTCACCTGATAGAACCTTGTTTTAAACCCCCAGAGGTGATCGATTAAAGGGACTAGAGAAACATACACGACCAAGAGGAACATAGATAGGAGATTATAGTAAAACTTGAAGCATTTGATTTAGCACTAGAAATTTTGAGAAACAAAAACTGGGTGTTCGATAGATATCAACTTGCTAATTGTCTTTCAAGCCATTCCACAGGCAAAAATCCCCAGAACTTGCCCCATCTGAGGATTACATCAGATCTTTTTTGAAAGAAAAAAGGAAAGGTAAGTCTGTCAGACAGCTGCGCGACCATCCCAGCTAAACAAGGCTAGCTGAGAACGATCCTCTGCGGTCATGGTGATATCAAGAATTGACAAACCAGACCAGTAATCACGCTCTGATCACACAGCCAGAAATCATCAACCAGACTTGGTATCCTGTCTCCTTAGAACTCAAGGATACAGAGGTACGAGCCTATAGAACAGATCCTGTTCAAGTAAGGTCGTGTCCCTTAAGATCCCGATTCAAAGTTAAATACCCTTCGCTCTAATCTTTCCTCTTCAATGTGGGATTTTTAGTCCGTGTTGTGTGTTCCATTATCTGCTTAGAACGGATAGTTAAACCACCAGAAGGTAAATTAGAAAAAGGGGTTTAATTGACCCGGCTGTAACAAAATTTTTATTACTCGAGAACTCGTGGACTATTGTTATTAGCCTGTTTAATGCTTTCTTTAAAGTTTCAGAACTATATTTTTAAGATAAATTACATTAATTATAACCAATTTTTTATTTTAGTCTTTTAAATTAATTTTTAATGAAAATATTATTAATATTATTCTTTTTTATTTTGATCATTCATTGTTAAAATATTTAACGATGATACTTAAGTATTTTTTTATATTTTATATTATTTTCTCTCTATTATAATAAACATTGACGTGCAATTTTTAAATAATTTTATTTAAATTAATTAGATAATGTTATGTGTTAACGGTTAATTGAGCGAAATCAAAATATGGACTTAACAAAATAAGGTCCGTTTTGTTTGAGAAAATATATGTTATTTTTATTTTTTTAGAAAATATAAAACGTTAAAGAAAATGTGTTTCGTTGTAAAATAAAAAAAATGATTTCTACAAAATAAAAATAAGTAAAAATATAAAAACATAAAAAATGATTTCAGTGTTTTCAATAAATTGTTTTAGAAATATGAAAAATAGAAAAACATGAAATATAGATTTTTAACTTAATTTAAACGAATTTAAATCCTTTTAACAATAGTTTTTGATTTAATGGTATTTGAAACGGTCAAACTTTTGCAAAAAAAATATCAATATGGTCCCTCAACTTTTTTTTACACTCAATTTGTTCTTTAAACTAAACATTTTTAATAATTTAATTTTTTTTTGTACTTTTATATTTAATGTATTAAATATCTTAATAAGTGTTTAGGTTTTATATTTTAAATTTAAATAATTTCTAAAAAAATGTCTTTAAACTTTCTAAAAGAATCAATTAGGCCCATGAACTTAGCCAAAAATTAATTAAGCTTATCTATCACATCATCATCTATCATGTACTATCATAACAACACCGTGAGCTATCCCATCAGTATTGTAGATTGTGATGCAAGCTTTGTGAATTGTTATGCAAGCTTTGTGAATTGTCATGTAAGTGTTATGACAATCGATGTTTGATTCCTCTAGTCAAATAGTTATATATTTTTTTTCTCTCAGTTTTAAGGGTTATATTGAGTGCAATAAAAGTTAAAGGGTTATACTATGCTTATCTATCACATCATCATCTATCATGTACTATCATAACAACACCGTGAGCTATTCCATCAGTATTGTAGATTGTCATGCAAGTTTTGTGAATTGTTATGCAAGCTTTGTGAATTGTCATGTAAGTGTTATGACAATCGATGTTTGATTCCTCTAGTCAAATAGTTATATTCTTTTTTTTCTCTCTCAGTTTTAAGGGTTATATTGAGTGCAATAAAAGTTAAAGGGTTATACTATTTTTCCCCAAAAAGTTTGTTAGCCTTAAATACCACTATACATATTTTTTTATTTTAACAAAATTTTTGTTTGCACTTGTTTATAACAATATTTTTGTGTATTTTTTTAAATTTAATTGATGTTCAACATGCATTAACATTGTATTCGTATTATAAACTAAAATAATTTTTGTTACAAAATTTCTTATCAACTTTATTATTTTATATTTACATAGCTCATCTATTAAAGTTATGTAATAATTTTTAATAATTATATTTTAATATAATTATTTAACAATTATTTGTTCATATATATTTTAAAAAATATATACCAAATATATTTTAACTATTTTATTTATAACTTTACGTTTTTTAAAACTTAAGTTTTCATTTATATTAATTTATTTTTTATATATATTAGAAAATATTTTTTGAAACCAAACAAGTCTAAGGGCTTCATTAAAGAGTAGGGAGAATAAAACCTACGACCTTCCCATGAAGGATCGTGCATTTATCAATTAAGTTAAACTAAATTATATAATTATTATATTTTTAACTAAATTAATATTTAGTTTGAATTTCAATTGAAATTAAAGATCAACTAATAATATTTTTATTATATTTTTAACTAAATTGAAAAATATGGATTAACAGTCCAAAACTTATGATTTAAGTGGAAAATCACAACCAATTATTCGGTGGAGAGATAATGAAGAATAGACGAATTAAAGACGATGATGAACAATCATCGAAAAATAACATCTGAAAGAAAAAATAAATATTATCTCCTCGATGATTTTGCATGATAACTTATATATTAATCCTTAGAGAAAATGTCAGGTCTAGTTTGATGATGATTATTTATATATTAGTAATTTAATTAGATAGTAAATTCGACTATGACACATTACACAAATCTGTCAAAAGTAACGACAAAAAATATAATTATCTTAAAGATATAGAACTCCAAAAATCTCAATACTTAATAAATGAAAAATAAAAATCCGAATGAGGTAAACAAATATAAAAGTCGAATTAACTGAAAAAAATACAGAGATGGATTTTATTATACTACAAGAAACAGAACATGTATTAAAGTCGGCCATCGAAACCCGCCTTTTGTGCGGCGGGAGTATGGATGGTGCTGGATTTCCGATATTTGAAGCGGCGAATAAGCTTCAAAGCATTTATGGCATCATTGATTGCAAGTACAGAGGATTAGGGTTAGGGTTCATATTGCAAGCACGCATTTCAACGTTTGTGCAGCCAAGTGACGTCTCAATCCCCCCTTTTACTCTTTCTCCATTTCAACCAAACCATACATCACCTTACTATCTTCTAAATCATCGATCCGATGGGACTCTCGACCCGAAATGAAATGTGACGTATTCTTATTTTATTAGGCAACCTACATTCTCTCCTATTTAAAATGTTAAGAATACAAATCTATATAAATAAAATAAAAAGCTTGATGATGATTTATTTGCTAAATATTGATAAATATATTCTTCATACATAAATTATTTAAAGAAAATATAAATATTTTTTTAAAAAGATATGTTCATAAGTAAAGAATTCTTGTGTTCATTTTAAATCATCCAAATCATAATTCTCTTAAAGAGTTCTCCTTCAATAGTGTGCAAATCAAATTAATTAATAGTGTTGTGAAGAGGGGGATAGTTAGTTTCTCTTATTATCATGGACAACCCCTTCATTCCCTGCAAGCATCAGGTATTTGTCTCTCCTAGTCAAGGTAGTACACTCAAATCCCAGAGCATCAGCCAGTTTCCTCTGAATATAATTAGCCACTTCGAAGCTAGACCTGCCCCTTGCACATGTGAACTCCGGTGGCACCTTTCCCAGTATTTGAACGTGGTAGCTCGGTCTTGGGTTCATCAGAAAGAAAATGGGATCCAACCATTTCAACCCACTCGCCGTCGTGCCATAGAACATGCTTACATGAGCGTTCGTAGCAACCGGAACTATGTCGTCGGCTAGCTCAGCGAACAAAGAGCTGAACCTTAACAGATAAGGCTCCCTGCATGTGGTTCCTTCGGGACAGACCACCAAATCACCTTCGCTTAACAGCTTCTTCATGGTTTTTCCGTCCTGGTTCCTGTCCCTGGTCAGCCTGACTGTCCTGATGGGAGCTATTATCTCCGACATTTTGCTCAAGCTGTAGGTCACTGCCGTCAAGGGCTTGCACAATGCCGTGCTGAGGAAAACTGGGTCCATAAGCGTTCGATGTGTACAGACGTACAAGACACCTTTTTTGTGCTGTGAATTTGGTTGAGGGAAACAGCCTTGGAATCGTAGCTGCACACCGCTAAGAGAACCAAAGAATATAGCCAACCTGTAAGGCAGACAGATACCGACCAGAATCCTGAAAATGGCGAGAATTATCCCAAATGGAAGCCAAAGGAACATGTAAAGTGTTGCCAGTGGTGTTGGCAAGAACGCTAGCCTTCCATCGTGGAATATAAGAGGCTTCGGGTACTTGTCCCTCGGCATCACGCAGCTTTGATCGTTTCGGTCATCCACCACATAGGCTTCCTGTAGAATTCACAAAGAAATTGAATTAACGAGCCCAAAACTCCTCCATAATTAAACAACTTCATGTCAATGTTAACAAGAAACTACATCTGCAGGTGGGTAGTCTTCGGACTAGTTAGGGTCTGGTGCACCGGTGTCAAAGAATCGAACTTGAAGGAATGAAACTATGTTCGTGTTCGTGTTCGTTTTTTTACTTTGAAAGTTTTTGTGTTAGGTTAGTTTCACATGTTCCTTTAGTGTTCAAAATATGGTGAGATTACACCATTAGTCCTTAAGGTCCTTTGACTTCACAGTTTGAACACTAAAATTCACTATACATTCAATTTAATACATATCTTCAACAATATTTATAATGTAAAAAGAAAACCTTATAAACAATTTGATAAATGAGCTTATTCGTGAACATAAATAAATTGAAGATAAAATTTATGTTTATACTCATTTATTTAATTTAATAAATAAATATTATACGAAATGTTCACGAATAATTCATCAAGCACTATGTATTTGATGAATGCAAGGTTACCCGAAAATTGAGACAAATTGAACAGTTCAACGACCATTAATTATTCTTCTTATGTTTAAACGAAGTTAAAGTAATAAAAGTACCTTGCAAAGGGAGATAAACCGATGATCATGGTGGCTTGAACTTCCAAGGCCAACGTCTGGTTTTTTATCTCCGAAATAACCCTTTAAAGCTTTATGCTTCACTAGCAAACCGGAGGCGGATACCAACCCTGTGAATCGGTTCCCGACGGTTTGCAATTCGGTGCCGACGACATCATCGACGCTCATGTATTCCTTGAGGAATCCTTCCACCATTACTCTAGGTATACTTGTGAACACAACTCTCGAACTTGTTTTAGACCAAATTTCGTAAGCTTGGAGATTAAGATTCTCGAGATAAAACTTGGGCAACACAGCCATGGCGGCGCACTCGACATCCTTCTTCCTCAGCCCAAAGAAGGATATAAAGATCATAACCCTGAGTTTGAGCTCATAATCCAAAACCCACAAAAAGGAGCACGATAAAAGCAAGAGAAAGGCTCTTAAAATGCTACCACCTTCAAAAGCAACCAACATGAAGTAAGGGAAGAAGGTTTCAGTTCTCAATAAGACACCATGAATATCACAAACCAATGTACGAGAGACTTTAATATCTTTGCTTAAATCAAAGTGAGCGACGCTTGTAGGGAATAAAGAACCAGCTTGTTGCTGTGGTGATGACGACCACCTAGGAGTCTGGTCCCTCACCTTCCCGGCGGCTCGATAACAAGAGTTAGCCAGCAGCTGGTACAAGACCCAGTCAGCTAGCTTCAGAAACACTAAAGGAAAAACCATGGATTTCTCTAGAAATAGGTAAGAGAAATAGGCCAGAGGATGAGAAGGAAGTATGGGGAAATGTTTGTGTGCAGAGGAGTGGAAGGGAAAGAGATGATATTTATAGTAGAGAGAGGAGGTAAAGGTTGACCAAAAGATGGATTTGGTTAGCCATACAGCTAGCATTGATTGCACAATCAATCTTCCTCTGCCATTTCTGCTTCTTTTTAGCCATTGAATCTTTGATTAAATTTCCATCAACATGCTTCTAGCTCTGCATGAGCACCTGCATTATTTTAAAATATTATTTTTTGGCTGAAATGGTTAGGTCAGATTCTGGTGACCCCCTTTCTAAACAGTTTTAAGGGACTTTTTTGCTTTGAAAACTTTCTATTGGAATGCGTGTTGTGTATACCCGGAACTTGCATAGTGAAAGATGGACAACTTGAGTGTGGATTTTCAAATTTCTTTTTGCGTAAATTACATTAGATGAATTTAACTATGGGAAGATTTTATTTTGACCATCAAATTTTCAATTTTAGTAATTACACCATATAATTATTTAAATACTACTAATCAAATCATTTGTTGTTAACATTTGACGACAAGATTGATGTAACAGTTAACAAAATTGATATAATTATATATTTGATCATCATTACTTATATATATAATGGAAGAGTTGACGGATAGGGACAAGTTGCATAGTGGCTTTGAGGGGTTGTTGCCTCTTTCAAAATTTTTGGTATAATGGCATTTTAGGTCCTTTTTAATTTAAATAATAGTCAAATGAAGCTTTTTTTCCTATTAGTTTTTAGATTTAAATACTTCATAGATTCTTATTCTTTTGATATAAAGAACTTTGCCCCCCAACATTTGATCCTAGCTTTGTCCTTGTTGACATTCAACAAAATGTGTAAATATATCAATTTTATTAATTGCCACGTCATTTCTTTTGTTAAATGTTAACGATAGGTATTTTGATTGACACATTGAAATGGTTAAAATGAATTTATTGATAAAATTGAAATATCAATTATCAGAATAGAGTTTTTCCATAATTAAGGGATCACCCATGTAGTTTTCCCATTCTTTTTCTTCCTCCAAATGAGCCAATCCTAAGTTAGATGACCCGTATCATCTGTTCAAATTGACTTTCTCGAAATGAAATTTCAACCCCATTTTCCTCTATGATTTTAGCTGTTTTTACATGATCCATAACAGTATTTCAACAAGAAATCTGTGGCATTTATATGTTTCTCCAAGTACCGAGACGCTTTCTTCTTCTTAATTTAAGCCGGCTGCTACGGCAGCCTGTTAGGCGAGCGAGTGGTGTGTCATGCAGAGTTAATAAATGAAACTCGATATTAGTAAAAAGCAGACATCTTTACTAATGATTGAAATACGAATTATTATATAATTATTACATAATATGAAAGTCCTGATGTATCATTTGAATTGAACCAATTTTCTCTTTTTTAGCAGTTAAGATCATGCAGCTTTGGTTGGTTAAGATCGTGCAACTCATGATCTACCTTGCGACATTTATATCCAATTAACAAAGGAAACTGTTAATCCCTTTGCATGATGGTTAGATTATGTATTAAATTACTTGCAAATGCCTTTTGTGTTTTGGTAAGATGCAGGGCATGCAATCTTCATTAATCATGGAGTTGGTAACGTTCAATCATTTGGATTTGTTGTTTATGTAATTCATGTATTTTGAGTGTTGGGTGGTAAATTGGATATTTTAGAATTCATTGCACATAAATGATAAATTTATTGGCAACCAAAAAAATGATAAATTTAATCTTTAAAATTTATACATTTTAAGTTTTCAAACGAATTACTATTACGAATTAGGGTAAACCACACAAATGGTCCTCCAACTATAGAATGATGTGTAGTTGAGTCCCTTGACTATTAAAAGTTACAAAATGGTCTATTGACTACAAGGTATTGCTTTGTTGAGTCTCCCAACTATTAAAAGTTACAAAATAGTCACCCGACTATCAATGGCGAATGCATGTATACTCCAATGCCCATCCTGAAATCCGAATTTCTTTATGTATGTTGTTCATTTTACTGATAGTGTCCACCCTGAAATTCTATTAGTGCCTACCCCATAGAAAAAAATATTATCAATACATATGTACCCACGCTAAAAAATATTTCTGAATCTTCCACTGTCGACTATTTATATGTTTTAGACTTGACATTTTCTTTTAAAAAAACAGCGGTCGTCTGAGTTGTACATTATCTGCTCACTATGATATGATAAAATCTGATCCCATAGCTCCTTGAGTTGTATTTTATGGATCGAGACTCTATTTACATTATGTTGTCAAACAAGTGTTTGAAATATTATGTCATTGAACTAATGCTTATAAGCAACGACAGTATCACTAGACATCAATTTATCATATCTTAGTTAGCAGGTTAAAATCCAACTCAAAGAGTTATCAATTTTTAACAAAAAAGGACAAGCTTGGAACATATGAATGGTTGGATGACCATTTTGTAACTTTTAAAAACCGATGAACTCAACAAAGCAACACTCTATAGTCAGAGGACCATTTTTGTAACTTTTAATAATCAATGGACTTAACAAAGTAATGCCCTATAGTCGAAGACCATTTGAATACTTTACCCTAGGAATTAATGGTGGAAATATATCTTTCAAAAAAAAATAATGGTGGAAATATAATTACAATTTGATTTAAAAGTTAAATAATAAAATTAAGATAATGTAATAATTATACAAATAATTTTATTAAAAAAATAACATTTGTAACATCAACATTTCTATAATGTGTATGGTTGTATACGTCTGAGAAGGCAAAGTTGGTCATTTTACTTCCTGTCTTGGGAGTATAACTACCGGCCTTTGGGTTAGTTTTCCATACCTTTAGTTAAGTTGGAAAATTTTGAACTAGAAAAAATTTATAATTTACTCATCCTTTAAAAGTATAAAAAGGTTTTTGAAAATTTCAATATACATATATAGTCATTAATAAATCATGTGGCATTCATTCCAATCTTTATGGCACGGAGCGTACTTTCCATTATGCATTTATGATTCAAACACTCGTAGAAGAAAATTTGTTAAGCTAAAGTATGAACAATATCGTGGGGCCTCAGTTAAAAGGGTTGATGAAATTTTGCACTCAAATAAAATGGTTATAATTTGAACCCTGGGATAGCATACTAGCTTCTATCAGTGAATTCCATGTATAATTTCAGCAGCAGCTCCTTTGGTAGTAGTAGAATTCTTATTCAGCAAACAGGACAGAATCATCATCACTGTCATCATCATCATGATGCAATGCTTCAAAAAGATTACAAGGTCACATTACCCGAAGCAGGATATTCGAAAGATAAGCACCCTCTGGGTAGGCTGGGTCAATAGGATGATCACAACCGGCTCCACTCTGCCTTAGGACTGTAATTTTTCTCTCCGCCATCGAAGCGGCACCCTGATTTTAGAGAACAAATTTGAAGTTTAGGAGCTTTTCATCCATAATAATTTTCTTACCATGGACTACCTATTCTTGTAACCTGCTTTGAACTGGCTACTAAATTGGATTCATTATAGGAGGTGATACCATGCAACAAAGAAATTTTTTATTCATAAAGATCTTCTGCTATGGTCAAAAGAGAAAAAATGGTAGAGAGAAAAAGATAAAGCGGAAGACTTGAATCGCCTATCCTCGAGAGGATGAAAGTGCATTTTTAAGGTATCAGTAACATAGTAATAAGGCAATGTGAATAGTCACAAAAAAACAGGATACAGAAAAATCACTTACCTGAAGAGTACGCAAGAAAATCCCACTTTGAGTCATTGCTCCTGAACAAGAGCAGGTCATGAGAAGGCCACCTCTTCTAGTTATTTTCATTGCTAACGAGTTCAAGTTTCGGTACATGCCTGAAGCACTTTGGAGAACCTGGGTATTATTAGCATCCAAGAGACAAATATAAAAGCAAGCATGTTGCAGCAAGTCCTACAGCCTACAGTCACAATCACAGCGTAATTTTCATTTATGAGAGCTGCCAGAATCGAGATGCATGAGAAGTTTTACACGTTCATTTGTGTGACTGAAGTGAAAATAAAGCATATTCTTCTACATTTATTAATTTGGAAAAAAAAAGAGCAAAGAAAAGATTGATTTAATTCCTTCCGAAATCAATAGTTAAGAATCTATTGAGCTACTCATGCACTAGATGATATCTGTTCAATATACGATATTACAGATAACATAACTAGATGGTAAATTAATCAACCCAACAATAATGCATACAGATTAATCCGTCAGAATCAATGTGCATGAACATGTAAACCAGAATTCAGGTCACCTTCCAATGTTATCTAAAGTGATATTAGATAGTGCTAAATGCTAAATATAGATAATACCTTTCTGCTTGGTGCAAGTTTCGGAGGATCAAGAACTACTATATCCCATGATTCTTTTCTAGAAAGGGCGCTCCTCATAAATACAGTTGCATCTTCTCTCAAAAAGGATGTCTTTCCAGGGTCCAGGTTGTTAAGAATAATATTTTCTCTGGCTAGCTCTAGCGCCAGCAATGAGGTATCAACACCTAAAAGAGTATCAGACAGAATCACATAAATAGTCCCTAGAAATATCTATGATCATTAAGAACAAGTTTTTAATTATCTACTTAGATATGCTTTTTGAGAAGGTATATCGAGAGACTTAAAACTTGAAGCAACTTAAGGTCAAAAGTCCTATAGTATCCACTAACTCAATTCAACTTGGCTAAACTTTGATTCCCAACAAGATGGATTCTGCTATAAAGAACATTCTTCCGCAACTCCTAACTTACAGTCATCTTCTTCCAATTTTAAGTTCATCTATTAGGCAAAGAAAAGGAGCAAAACCTAAGTCTCTGAATGAATTTTGGTACTACAGGATTTAATACATTTTCAAGCATTACTCGTTGGCTGCAATTTTTCTAGAAACTCCTTGAGAAAATTACTCCAAAATATATGCATAACTCAACATTACAACATTAATAATGGTAATTTTTA